AGACATTCCAATAATTTCAAATCATAAATCTCATACCGTCAACATTTTTATTTAACACCAAAATTTGCATTTCTTGAAGCACTTCTCTTGGAATCAAGATCAGCTTTATTTCAAATTCATTGCTCTCAAAAAATAAATTTTCAAATTATGGACGAATCGGTTGATATGATTGAAATATTGCAGACAAATATTCAAAAAATCTGCCTACTAGAGCTTAGACCAGCATTTTTCAGAACATATAAGAACTTAAAATATCTAATAGTAAGCATATTACATTAAATATAATCAACTAAAACATCCCATAAGAATAATTTATTTTTGTTTTTCATCTTTTTTCTGTTTTTGGAGCATATATCTTTACATATGTACTATACATATCTTTAACCACAGCAGGACATTAAAAAATTTTTATGCCATTTATGAAAATTTCAAAATTTTTATTTGCAACAAAAACTCACATAAAAAAGAAAAAGTGAAAATTCATCAAAAAAGAAAAATTAAAATAAAACGAGTGAATGTAAGGAAAAAAAATTTTTTTTTTTTAAAAAACTTTTTACACATATAAAATATAAAATGTTACGAAAGAAAAAGAACAATTTCACAAGAAAAACAAAAATATAAATAAACATGAAAGTTATGTCCTTTTATGTTTTTACCTACACCATTCTATCTACATTTACATAATAAAATGTACACACTATACTCCCACATACAAACATACTCCTATCATTTATATGTTTGTACATAAATGTAAATAGTTGTGCCATTCCTGTATAACATTCTATTCTGGGAGATATTTATTTTAAACATCTGTTTTATATTCTATATCAAACTTATATATTTTATTCATCTGTTCTGTTAATAATATATTGAAAAGGAAATGTCCTTAGAATAAGGGTATTTTGGCTTTGTTAAATTTTTTTAACAACTTGTAAGTAATTTAAAATTAATATTGTGTCGATTTCAATCTTCTATATTTATATGTACATATGTACATTTATATAATACAAAATATACATACATATCCACATTATTCAAAAGAGAAAATTTAAATTTATAGACGCAAATATTCAAACATAAATGAAGATAAAAAACTTTCATAGTTTTAAGAATAAACATGTTAAGGCAATAGATGATATTTCAATAAATTAAATTCAAAGTTTTAAATTTAAACAAAAAAAAAATTTGAGTTGATTCGAACACAGTTGATTCCGAATTACGTGGGGTAAATTTCAAAATCAAAAAATTAAAATTACATTTCATTTCTTATTAGTATCATGCTGTTTTGGACATCAGCCCCTCCGACGTTGTAAGAACTTAAATTTTTAAATCAATTTTATAAAAAAATTTCAAACTATGGATGAGACAATAAATTTTATTCAAAAAACAGTTTGCGAAGACAATTGTTTGAAATAGGTGCACCATATGAAATTCTCGGGGTGACTTTAAACTTACATTCAAAATTAAGCTTTGGCAAATATATTTCAAAGTAATTAACCTGAACGGAGTAGTAATATTAAAATTAAATTTATATTTCAGTTGCTTTATTAAGCGCCCATTTACAACATAGTTTTTGATTCACTCGAAAGTGCTACATGCTTAACTAAAAATATTAACAATATAACGTAAGGAGGGCATACCTACACTTTATAATAATTATTTTTTTATTTATATGAAAGTTGAGTGAATCGTTGTACTGTAATCGTTCTACTTCTTCTTGTAATTGTTTCTTTCAAAAAAAATCTTAAATTTCAAAATAAATTTATTATTTACAATACAATATTAAGAGCAAATTTTAATTGCTCTGTGTCAAAAAAATTTTGTGTTATTTAAAAAAAAGAACTTTAATCCTTATCGTTAAAAACCGTAAGTAATCTTATGTACATAGATGCATAGATACTAATACCCAATTATGTACATTGTAACCTAACTTGTATATTGAAAAATTGAAAATTTTAGCAAAAAATATAAAATTTCATTTCAAACGCATAAAACGATTTTTTGAAATTTTCAATATTTAATTATTAAGAAATTTTTTGCTGTATTTAATATTTAAAAAGAAAAATTTATTATGTTATTGAGGCTAAAATAATACACCTAATTCATTTGAGTAGATGATGCGCTCTTAAAAAATCTGTCTAAAATTGAAAAGGAATCGGTGCTTAATAATTTAAAAACACATTTACAAACAAGAACTGGTTATGGTAAAGCATCTTATTAGAAAATAGAAAATTTTGAATTCTAATAAATCATTGAAGTAATATCGTACCTGGCACCTGTGGAATAAACCATTTCCCATAAAAATTCTTCAATGTAACGCCGTTATAAAGCAGCCTTATTGCAAATTGATATTGTTGGTTAAACTGATGATTAAAATAAGTCTAAATGTATGTACATGTGTATACAAACTTGTTTTCGTTATTTTCATTTAAATTTATTATTTAATTATTATTTAATCTTTAATAAATTATAAAGTAGAGTAAAATAGATAAACTTAACCACATTTTGACACTATGTATAAACCGTGAACTTTAATTAATAACTGATGACAGAAAAACATAATACAATTAAACTAAAATTTCATCTTCTAATCCACAGATGGAGTAGTGTACCTGACTTTTGAAAGTTTACAACTTTGTTCAATAATATTGTAGCGCAATTATTATAAAATTACATTTGAATGTACTTAAATACGTAGGGAATATACATATGTACATATTTTTTGTAATTAATTGAATTTTTTTTTAATATTAAAAAAATTTTTTGAAATATACTTCTTTATTTTATAAATCAGGAATAACAATAGAGTAATTTTTATTATTGCACTTAACAAAAATATTTATACTGCTGTATATGTATGTATACGTATGAATATGCATATCAGCTGTATTAGACAAAGTCTGATGTCAAAACATGTTTACATTATCATATATACGACTTTAACCAGAAATGGGATTAAATCTTAGATTTTGTCGTAAACAGTCCCAAAAAATTAATTTGAGTCTTTTGAAAGCTTAAAAATTTATAATAAAAGACATTACAAAGTAAGAATTGGAAATAATATGTATTCAGATTGTTCAAAGTAATTATTCATTTTAGGTTAATTTTTTTTACAAAAAAAAACATATGAAAATAGCATACATATGTTTAAGGTCTTAAGGCGTGATTCACTGACTCTGACGAGCTGATGTATTTTGTATGAAAATTTGAATTTTTGACATTCTCTTTATTTTTATTAAATCAACTTCAACTTTAGTGCGGAGGTTTTTTAAAGCGTTAACCTAAATTAACCTATACTGAACTATTACATTTACATATAATTCTTGCCAAAAAAATAATAAATGAATCATAATAAAAAAAAAACGATCAGCTTTCTTTAGACGAACCAATGAACAATAAAATGAAAGTGAGAAAAAATATTTCTACTACAAATAGCTCATCTCAAAAACGGCGAACACATGAATCCAGCTTAAGCGCAAATCAAACTTACCACTTTTTAATCTAAAATAATTCTGACAAGTATTTACACATCGAATTCAAAAACATTACGCCTTTAAAAAGTAAAAACCAGAAGCCAGTTGATTACTGCGAAAATTAAAAAAAAAAATAGTTTGCGCGCCATATAGTTTTTAAAACTTTTACGGGAAATCTGATGATGAAAATCCTTTATACATCAGACTTTCATAAGAATCATATAGTTGGAGTTTGTTCTGAGTATCGAATCTCCAAGTTAAGTGATAATTATCGTAAAAAGTTCAATATTCATACAATTCGTACAAATGATTCGTGTCTATAATAAAGCTTGAACTTTTTACGATAAATGTCACTTAGTGATTCGAAGTTCAGAATAAACCCCACTGAATAATACTCAAAGTACTTTTTTATTAAGTAAAGTACGCTTTCACAATTAATTTCACATAGAGTGATAAATGTAAATTTTAATTTTTTATGCATAAATTTACATTTACATATACATCAAGTAATAATTTTTTACTCATTAAATTTTGTTTATAATGGTATGGAAAAAATTTACATAAATAGTGTGTAAAATATTGCACTACTTATGTATATTCGGAAAGTATAAGTGCGAAACGGTGGGATGAAGTGCTAGTCGGAAACGGCTAAAAAATTCAACTGTACTGCAATTCAGCGGAAAACGGTTCGCCAAATTTATAACAATAAATTTTCCTTTATTGTTTCAAAATAAAATTTACAATCACATGGAAATGATTGAGATCGGCTATTGAATGAAGAATATATGCAATGCAAGTAAAGTAAACGTCATTCACCGGCTTTTGAAATTAGTGCTGTAGAATTATTGATATATTAAACCATTGATATATTGGATATATCATCGCAAGACTATCGAGATATATGTATCGACAGTTTTGTAATATGTAAAGCTTATGGTATGAATGCCATGAACATTTACTCTGAAATACTCAAACTAAATCCTTTTCTAATCTTTTTTTGAATTCCAAACTTTTAAGTGCAATATCGTAATAGATAACCAGTACTAGATCGAAAATCGAATTACATTAACATTTAAGTTCAAATTTAATACTTAAATTACATAGAGCGAAAAATTTAAATCTTGAATTTTGGCATGACCATTATTTTGTTTTTGTTTGTTTATTTTGAAAAAGATTAAAAAGGAAAACTACTCAATGACGGCTTTACGAAATACGGAATATACATAATGAATGGGTTAAATGGGAATAAAAAAAAAAAATTTTTTTAACTAAAACGGAAAACAGATATGACCTTATGTATATAACATTACATAAATATTATTATGGAAACCATAAAATTTAATGCAGTATTATATGTGCCTGTCAAATTGTCCATTTAAAAAATTAATAATTTCTTAAGATTCTAAAAATTTAATTAACGATAGTAACATATTGACTTTAAAAACTTCGATATACTCGATATTTGAAAACTATCGATAATATCGATAATGCCATTGATAGTTCTTCAACTCTAGTTGTAAACACACGGTACGATTAATAGGGGAATTTACAAAATTTATAAGATTTTTACAAGTTTATACAAGTTTACATTATTTAATATTAGTTTGAATAAAAATTCAATATTTATTAAATAGGTTTATAAGGAGAGTAATATTGGGTTCAGATATGGAGGATATCGACTTGTCAACATTTGGTAGCGTAGTCGAATTAATGTCAGAAATAACTATAGATGAAAAAGATATGGACAAAGTTTTTCTGGAGTTTATGAGAAGTTTGCCTTACAATCAAAAAATTCTTGGTTCTTATAATCCAATACCAAATGTTATTTTATCAGAATATTTATTGGACAATATAGAACGACTTTTAGTTGTATCTGAAACAGACACAAAACTTCTACACAATAATGCATTCGAAAAATTTTATAATGAAGTTCTTAAATCGACTTTTGAAGATATGTTAAAAATTCGAGCTCCCATGCTTGATTCTGATTTTCCTCAAGGCACATTTCGGAATTCCAATTATAAATCAATTTTAAATGACATTCAAATCAAAAATATGTTAAAACTTCCAGTATTTAAATACACTGATAAGATTTTGGATGCCGTAGAAAATAATACTTTTGTATTAATCAATGGTGAAACAGGATCTGGTAAGACTACACAGATTCCTCAATTTATATTAGATCATCATATGAATCGAGGGTCATATTGTCGCATCATATGTACACAGCCACGACGAATATCAGCAATTTCAATCGCTGAACGGGTTGCTTACGAAAGAGGCGAGAATTTAGGTGAATCCGTTGGTTATCAAATTCGCTTAGAAAGTGTTCTTCCCAGACCCGCTGATTCGATCTTGTATTGCACTTCCGGTGTTTTGCTACGAATGATGATTTCAGATCCAATATTAGCAACAGTAAGCCACGTAATATTAGACGAAATACATGAACGTGACACTGAATCAGATCTTTTAATTGGATTGATACAACTCATTATTAAGTACAACAAGCAAATAAAAGTTTTAGTAATGAGTGCAACCTTCGGTTTTGAAGAATATTCAAAGAATTTTTCAAATTTTAAAATAATAAATATTGAAGGCACACTGCATCCCGTCAAAAATTTTTACTTGGAAGAAATACTAAGAGACTTAAACTTTTTTGATTTTCCGGATGCTGGGACTTATGAATCGAGAAAGCATTCCAATTTTTATAATACTCCAGAAGGAAGAGCAGAATTAACAAGAAATAAAGAATTTAAACAAATGATAAAAAGATACACAGAATCAATTGAAGGTAAATATCCATATACAGTTTTAAAAACATTGGAGAATCCGTTCACTGAAGAAATCAATCTAGACTTAATAGAACGGTTAATAGTTCATGTAGACAAAACAATGCCAGACGGCGCAATATTAATATTTTTACCATCATTTGAAAAAATTTCTAATTTGCATGAAATGTTGGAATTTACAAATAAAAATGAACATTATATTATATATACCCTTCACTCGTCAATGCCTACCGATAAGCAAAAAGGTAAGATATAAGAGATGGCTACAATTAAGTATGCACTTTTTCTTTTTATTATATTTAAAAATTAAAAAAATGTTCTATAACGCTCAATTTTTCAAATTTTGTAGGAATTTTTGATCGGCCTCCTGAAGGTAAAAGGAAGATTATACTAGCTACAAATATTGCTGAAACATCAATCACTATTGGTAACTAAATTTAAATTTTTAATCTTCTGTTTATATATCCAATTCCTTGCTTAATTATTCCTTGCTTAATTTTTCTAGATGACATAGTATATGTGATAAATGCTGGAAAAGCCAAAGTAAAATATTATGATATTAAGAATAAAATTGAAACTTTAGAAGAATATTGGATCACAAAAGCAAATGCAACTCAACGACAAGGGCGAGCTGGAAGATGTCAACCAGGTATATGCTTCAATTTATATACTAAAATTCGCGAAGAAAATTTTGAGGAGTATCCTGTTCCTACAATTCAAAGAACTAGAATGGAATCAGTGATAATGTGGTTGAAAAGTTTAAAAATTCATGATGTTAAAGCATTCTTGAATAGCTTAATATCGTCGCCTCGCAATGAAACAATAGATGACGGTATAAATTTTCTTAAACAAATTAATGCATTAGATAAAGACGAAGTAATGACTCCTCTTGGCTTACACCTTATGCAGTTACCTATAGATTCCCAAGTTGGAAAAATGCTTTTATTGTCAACTATATTTGGTTGTGTTGATCCAATTACTACTGTAGCTGCTACAATTAGCTTAAAAGAACCATTTTCTCAAAATATAAAAAAGAGAAAAGAATTTGATGATACGAAATTAGAGTTTGCTGAACATTCACGAAGTGATCATATCACTTATTCTAATGTTGTTAAAGAATTCCGAAGTGCGCTTAAAAAAAAAGAAACAGATAAATTTTGTTATGAAAATTTTGTCTCCGAATCTATAGTTATGCAAATTGAAAAAATGAAAATTCAATTATGTGAACTTTTGGCATCTACAGGTTTTATTAAGTATCCTTTTCCTAATCATTCAGAAATAAATCAATCATCTGCGGATTTGAATATTGTAAGAGCTGTAATAACAGCTGGTTTATATCCAAATATTGCCTTTTTGAGGTCAATAGCCTTTAGAAATATGAAGAATTCTTATGAAAAAAGGATTGAACATGTTTTACAAACACCAGAAGATGGAAACAACGTAAAATTTCATGTTACATCTGTAAATCGTAAACAAAGTGAATTTAATTCCAAATTCTTTGTATATTACAATAAGCATAAATCTGGTAATTATGTATATCTGCGAGAGTCGTCTATGATATCACCAATAGCAATTATTATATTTTCTGATAATGTTACCATTAAATCTGATGGTATGGAAATTTTCATTTATGTGCGAAATAACACACTCCGTTTTCCTTCAAATAAAAGAACGGTAAATGTATTGCTACAATTAAGGGAACGTTTTGAAAAAATATTAGAAAAATTAGCTATGAATCCGGCATATGAATTTACTGGCGATGATAAGAAAGTTATCGAAGCTTTAAAACTTCTTTTTATAGAAGAAAACTATTAACAATTTTAGATCTGTTATTTTAATGTTAATCTCAAAACTTTTGTTTTATAACAAAAAAGGGTTGATAGTTGTTAAAAATTTTAAATATATATGCGTTAATGGAAAAATTAGATTTAATGTTATAAACTGTTGACAATAGTTTATAGTGTACACTTTTGTAATACATATTGTGTATTTTTTTAATTAATCTACATACATATGTGCAAAATATAACTTTTTATACATATATATACACAAAAAAAATTTAAAAATTACATTTTTGTATAAGCTAAATTTAAGATATTTTCAAACAAAAAGCATAGATATGAAATATAATAAAGTATAATTATTATAAAATATTTTCGTGTTATATAAGTATTGACTGATTGCCTTAGTAAAATAAAGGGCTTAGAAGCCTGAATTTTAATCAAAATTGTGTATGATACAATAATATAAACATATGTTACAGAGCTACTAATATTTTTCTTAAAATATTGCATATGCTTGCACTTCCAGTTGCAGTTCTAGTAAATTAATTATAATATTTAATATTTCACACGTACAAGAGTATTGTAAATGAAATTAACAAAAAAAAATAAAAGAAAAAATAGTTAACAATTGGGTTTTTTTTTTCTCGTAAAATCTATAAAAAATTGTTCATAATTTATTTTACTTTTGTTGATGTAAGTGTTTAAACAAGTGTTGTGATTCCGTTAAGAAATTATTAAAATGTTTCTGTAAGTTTCCGATTTACATAAAATTTTGAATCTATTTTAATTTAAAAAATTCTTTGCAATTAATGTGTTTATATATTTAGAGCGCACATAATATGCATTTTTTTCGCATTTAATATTATTCTTGTGAAATCTCAAGTGCCATATATTGGAAATTGTCCTGAAAATATTACCACAAAATCGGATTTTCAGCCTGATAAGGTTTCATATAATATTTTTACTTTGTAATAATTGAATTAAATTGAACCAGTTTTATACAATATAACAATTAATGATATGTAATTTGTATATTTAATTTTTGATTTAAAGTATCTTGGTAAGTGGTATGAATACGCAAAATATCCGTTCATTTTTGAAGCTGGTGGAAAATGCATAACAGCCGAATACGGGAATTTGGGTAACGGCAAGATATCCGTAGTAAATACACAATATGGGATGTTGTAAGTTATTTATTTTTGACATAAAAAATTTATCAGTAATGCCATGGACATTACATCATATTATACATAATAAAAAGAATATGATGTACATATTATTAAAATTTCATGTTGGAAACAAAAATTCGATTAACTAATATTCGCTAAATCAATTCAAGTTAAAAATTTTATTACGCCTTCTTTTGAAAAAACTTTTGAACAATTATAATTTAATGTGTAAATATTTGTGCTTGACCAGTTTTTATTGACCGCATTACATACAAGATTTATTGTGGTAATACAAAATTATACCATACTGATACTTTTCATACACTACACGTGACCTCGGGTTAATCAGGTGTTAACAACTTTACATAATATTGGCCAATTTTACATTTTTAGTTATTTTAATAGCAAAAATCTACGGACGTCTTTAAAGTTTTTATATTTCAACTCACAAAATAATTAACAGAATCTGAAAATTTAAGATTTAGCTTACTTATTGAAGAAAGCTAAATAAAATACTTTAAGTTAAAAACGGAATTTCAGAATGAAAAACTCAACATATTTTAGTATATATTAAATATAAATGTTTATATAAAAACTATATAAACATTGTCGGAGCTGTCATAAGTAGAAATTGGTTAATTGTCTTGAAATTAAAAATAAATTGTTCATAGTCATTTTTAAAATTATGCAATCGTTTTGCTAAATTAAGAATATATGTAAAAAATATTGAAATTTTTTTTGAAAATTATCTAGTAAATACAAAATCCAGTTGATATTATACTGGCCATATCAGATTTATCACGTTTTTCTTTATAAATATTAGGCTCTTAAATACAAGAACTTAATAAATATTATTTTATTCTAATTGAATTTCATTGACGTAATGACGCATGCAGTATGTGCATATGTATACGTGTACAAGAAAAATATTTGCATTGTAATAGCTGCTAATGATTTTCCTAGATATATAAATATACATACAATGTACATATATACAATGTACATACTTACTGCGTATTTTTGTATATAATTTTAATAGCAATGAGTAAATAGTGGATATTATACATGTATACACACATACATTCAAATATTCACAGATGCAATTAAGAACTCTAAAGTAAAAGAGCATTAAGCTTTTTTTATTAGACATGTTAGTTTAAAATATTTAATATTCATTTAAATCTAGATAATAACTATGTTTTTTAATTAGGTAAACAAAATAACTATTGTTTACTGTAATTGTAAATAATTTTTACTTTAAAATCATTTGTATGTTCTTTTAGATTTGTTATACATTCTATTAATTTATAAAAATGGAAGTGGCGCCTATAAATTTCTCCACTTAGCACAAGAACAATAAAACGGCTTGTCTGCATTTTTGTTGTATATTATTTTGAATAGCAATTTCCTTTATAAAACATTATGAAAAATATTATTATGTCGACATTACCAGACTCTTTACAACAACCATGTAATAGTTTTTACCAATTACAAAACCTTTTGTTTTGTAGTACAAATTATAATAAACTTTAATACTCCTTTGCAATATTTTAAGACTGCAGAACTTTATTTTTTAACTTTCTGTTTTCTAATTTAACTAATGGTTTTTTTAAATTTTAAAAAGCAAAATAAACTTATATTAGAATTTTATTTTATTTACTTTATCTTTAATAGAACATTATACATATACAAAATAATAAAACGAAACTGAGCATAAAAACAAAGACAAAAAAAAATTAATTTTTTATTTTAATTAAATAAACAGTTTTAATTTGGGTACTGAATATAGTTATAATACAAATTTGTATTTAGAATTATATGTACATATATATATAATATGAAAAAAGTTATTTATGTTAATAACGTAAATAATTTCATGAATTTCTCATTATTATGATAAGATGTCATAAACAGTTTCTTTTATTCAGGTTTGGTTCGAAATCTTCCATTAGAGGAACAGCCAAAGAAGTAGCACCAGGAAAATTACTTGTAAATTTTGATTATATACCGCGTGAGTATTACATATTATAAGTATGTGAGTATTATATGTAAATAATATGTTTTAGTTATTAATTTCATAATTCGAAAAATCATAAAATATTAAGTTATATTTTATAAGCATATTATTCTTAATTCAAATGTATATTATATTTAAATTTACCAAATATTAATCACTTCTAATTAAGTTGAATTTTTAATTTAATTCAAAAGCATTTGAATAAAATTTAATTATTTCCCAATTTTAAGTTTTTTTTTTTTCTATTTATTTTAAATAGATAATACAGAAATAAAAATAATATGTATGTAATTATTTTAATTACAATTATTATAATATAAAATTAATATAATTTTTAAACTTTGTGCTATATTGTAGTGGATACATTGACTTCTTCAAATTATTGGGTATTGGATACAGATTATGAAAATTTTTCTGTTGTTTTTTCTTGTTATGATTTGTTATATTTTCATACAGGTAAAATTAAATTTATATTTTCCATAATATAAACTTATAAAGCTTATAATACATTGTAATATAATATATACATATATATATAAAAAAACTTTTAATTTTTTTTTGTTGTAGAAGTCGTTTGGATTTTAACAAGAGAACAACAACCGTCACCAGAAACTATTGAAAAAGCTAAATCAGTAATACAAGAAAAAGGTTTATCTTTAAAACCTCTAACAATCACTGATCAAACAAATTGTACATAAAAGTAAAACTATTATAATTTATGTACATATATCTGAAAAATAAATTTATAAGATTTGTATGTATGTAATCGGATCATATAATTTGTTAGCTATTGTATTATATTATGAATTCAGGTATTTGGTTCTTTTATTGTTGCTAAGAAAATTAAGAATTTTTTAATTTTTGTTGAGTTTATTTTCTTTTTTTTTTCCATATGTAGGTTGGTAATTGTTATTATAAAGATTTAATCTAATTATATTTTTTTGAATTTCTAATTGTTGTAATTAATAGTATGTGATTCTTACATTCATAGTTTCAAATATATAATATGTGTACAAACAAATAAATTAAAAATTTTTAAAATATAAATTATTTTTCGAAAATAAATTTGTACTTTTGAAAAGCAAAAAATAGAAAAAAAGTTTATTGTTTAAATATAAAAATTTTATGTATATGTTTATAAAAGAATATGATGTGATGAGTACCTAATCGATCGCATGTTGTAATGTCTAATGCCCTTTCTTTCTAATTTTATGAACGCTAGCAAGGTTTTAGTTAACGTACTTTGGAAAATGTAAATTTTACTATTAGTGGTGATTTACTTTATGCCACCCGAATCTCTAGTTTACTATTTCTCTGTATATTCGCAAAAATGTAAATTTAACCGGTAGTAAAAGTCAGATTTCTTCATGAAATTGGGTTTCTAAATATATAATAAATAAAGATAAGCTTCAAATGAAGCTTATTTTTGAAATTTTAATTTAAATTGTTCAATATTCTCTTATCAATTATCAAAAATTAAAATCGACCAGTAAAACAAAGATCCAATTACTGAAACCTGCAATATCCCAAAAGTTAATCAATCCCTGATATAGGCAAAATAAATTCATAATCTCATAACGTAATAAATTAATTTAATTACGCTTCCCTATCACAGAGAAAAGCATATCAAACGAGAACTCGACGTGATGAGAAGTGGTGTCATCAGAAAAGTACTTTATAAGTGTACATACATATACACATAAAAACATGCAAGAAATTATATCAATAAATTGAATAACACAGGTAAAAAATTATAAAAATAAATTTTTTTTACAGCTTGATTTTTTTGAATCTGTCTTCTAATTCGCTACAGTTGATCATTTAACAATACAACACAATTGGTAATCAGTTTACAACATATAGAATACATAAGTAATAAAAATTGATATTAATAGGAACAGTTTTCTAATTGGTTGCAGCTGATTATATACAGATATTTTTAAATAATGATAATGCAAATAATGTATATACTTATTTTTTAATTAATTCACTTTAACATATTAAATGTTACATATTAAATATATTTACATAACATGTTTTACATTGTTTTAAATTTTACATTTTATTTATAATCAATTTTATTTAAAATATTGTAATTTATAGAATTAAATAAAATTTTTAAAATAAAACAGTTTACATTCGTAAATTTAATTTAGGTTTAGAAAGCAAACAAAATTTTGTCGCAATGATTGTCGCAATCCCATTTCAACTCTATAAAGTATATATATATATATGTAGTATTATTTACTATTTCTTAAGAATCCCATATAAATCATAGTAGTAAATATACTGAAATAATTGAATTTCCTAACTCTACAAATCATTTTGATTTGCATGCGATATTTGAAAATTTAAAAATAATTATCATTAATTTTTTATATTTATATCTCATGTAAAACTCATCCAAATTATATTTCAGTTGTAATTATTACAGGTGACAATATGTGTTTTAATTGAAAAAAAAAATCATATTGTATAATATATTAATTATTCTAATAAATAGTATCACGCAATCAAAATAAATTTCAATTACCAAATATCATAAAAAATAATATGTGGCTGGTTAAAATAAAAAATTTTTATTAGTTACAAAAGTTGCTCTTTTCAACTTTTACGAAATTAAATTTTTCAGTATAAAACAAAAATATGTTATTTAGTTTAGCATTAATAGTTTTAATATTTAGTCTTACTGGTAAAAATGGTAAATAAATATAAAAAATGTATATAGAATTTTTAGTAAAATTTATAATTTTGCTCAACAAATCAATTAAAATTAATTGAAATAAAAAAATTCATTTTACGGATCATTAATAATTAAGTAATAAATAATTTCCATATACAAATTGTACAGCTTCTGCAACAGATGATGTAGAATTCTATTATTACAATAAACTTAATGAAAATGGATCAAAAATTTTTATAGGAAATATGGAATCCTTGAAGGAATTTGAAGCAAATCTTCCTATTAGGTATATTGAAATTTATATGTATATCATAATTTTTTTCTATTTATTAATATTCATATTCATAATGATGCAAACATTTTTCTTATATATTTAGGAAGTTTATCGCACAGTTTTGTACAAATTATAACTTATAATTCCGTTTAAATTATATGGAATGTATAGAATTTTTTTATAATTTACATTAAATTAAGATTTTTGCGACAATAAAAAATCAATTATCATTCTGTTTCACCATTTTAATTTTTTAAAGACAGTAATTTTGTATATATGTATATCTACTTCACAGTGTGTATTAAAAACAACTATAATATACGTGTACTTAAATACAAGTATGTACCGTGTACCTTTAGCAGGCGTAAAATATAACAGAATGACGTTAAAAATGCATTCATATAAGTATTTGAAGAGGGCTAAGAATTTATCATTGTAGATCAGCAATATTTAGCATAGTGGCAAATGACTTTTTGAGAAAAAAAAAAGACTACAACTATATTAGATCTACGAACTCAAGATTTTCATTAATTTGCATACAACAACTCATTCTTGATTGAAAAATGCCTTATGCATTGATTGTCTTCTCAGCCCTCCATATATATGATATATTTTTAATTTAAATGCTTTTACTATTTTAAGTGCTTGCCTACGTAACCGTTTGCCAAAGAAGTAGCATGACCATTTTTAAATTATGTTTTCTTACATTAATGACGATTCTATGTGAATTAAATTCACCTTAATTTAATTATATATATATATATATATATACTTCTAATTTATTTTAATTTTTTTTTTAGAATTATCATTCACGGTTGGCATGGTAGTCATAATTATTATCCAATAAAAATTTTACGGGATGCTTATCTTAAAAAAGGAAATATAAATGTAATTGTTGTAAATTGGAAACAAGCAATTAATATTCATTATTTTTTAGTAACAACATATTTAAAAGAAATTGGACAAAAAGTTTCTATGCTAATTAAATTTTTAAATGAAAAATTTAATATTAAATTTTCAAATTTTTATATTATTGGTTTTAGTTTAGGTGCACATATTGCTGGTTTAACTGGTAGAAATTTATTACCAAATAAAATTGATACAATTTATGCTTTAGATCCAGCTAGATTTTTATTAGATAATAATGATTTCATAAAATTAAATGATGCCCAATATATTGAAGTAATTCATACTAGTGCTAGAATAATAGGTGCTGGAATACGTGAAAAAATTGGTAACTCTGATTTTTATCCTAATTACGGAAAAATACAACCGCACTGTCAAAAAGTACTTAATATGATTACATGTGATCATATTGCTTCTGTTTTATATTTAGCTGAATCGATAAATTCTAATATTGGTTTCTATGGTACAGAATGTGAGAAAATACAAAAATTAATATATAAAGTAGAGTGTGAATGTATTAATGATGATTGTAAAAAATTTAGAATGGGTGGTGAACCATCTTTAAAAAATAATAAAAATAATGGAACTTTTTATTTGGAAACTAATGAATATTTTCCTTTCGCAAAAGGTTAATAATTTTGTATAAAAAATTTATTAAATTTATAATATATACTTTTGTAAATATTCACATAATTCAAATTCATAACTTTTTACGCACTAATAATCTGTAATTTTATGTATTTTTTTTAAATAAATTTTAAAGAAATCTTTAACTAAAAAAGAGCAACAATTTGACTCACATGCGTACATATATGTGTGCGTAATTTCAAAATTTTACATAACTTTTTTTGGTTTATAATATCAAAAACCAAATACATATAACAAGATTATATTTTTGCTAGTGTCTCATATTAAAATACTCAAAAGCTTAAATTAAAATAATTTTGTTATCCTTGAAGTATGCAAGCAATATTATGTAACCGCTTGTAAATGTCATTAGAAATTTTATTAATTGCATACCCTGCGTTTACTACCATTTAACGCTTACATTTAAAAGCAGATTTGTGTGGATATTTATTACTAAGAAGAGTAAGAGCTTCTTCAAGAGGTGATAATATGAGAGGTGATCCACAATTTATTTTTATCATTTTGTTTACGAGAATGATTAATAACATCCTAAAGCGTTAGTTAGGGAAACATTGAACTGTAAGTATAAATTACTGAGAAAAGAAAACTTAATTTAAAATAATTAAAATTTTACGGCGTTTTATAAAATCTAATAATTAAAATAAAAACTCTAGCCAATCTATTATTATGTACACATTGGTGGTGTTGATAAAAGCTTCAAAATTATTCCTCATTATGTAAACTATAATGTCTTTGGTTCAACAAAGAAAATCTAACAAAAATTGAAAACTGATATTTTGCCTATACATTATTGAATACACAACTTTGTTTTAAGCTGAATGACACTCAAGCTTAATAAAGCGCCATCTATTGTTTTTTTTAAATTACTAAATTTTTTATAAAAATATTTGTTAAAAAATTTATAGTGGTATTTAAAGCTTTTTTTAGCAGAATTTCTTTTTTCCTTGCTTTTAAATAGCAACTGTTGAAAATAAGATACTTAGACCCATTTCTCACTTAGACCCTATGTAAGTTTGTTTACTTTATTATAAAAAAAAATATGTTGAAAGTCTTTTGAAAGAAAGTAATTATATAACTTTGATTTTGATTAATTTTTTATAGGCTTCTTAAATTCAGCAAATATAGAATGATATAACAGTTTCCTTCTTCTTCAGTAAAATACATATAAGCTAGCTAGCAGTCAACAATAATTAAAACTAACACTATAAAAACATAATAAAATAAATAAATGTTTTATTTTGCTAGAACAATATTTTTTTACAATTTCCGCCCTATTCAAAGCTATTGCTTAGAGGTTTGTCTTCTTCTACCGCAGCATACTTTACAAAAACAAAAGGGCTGTTAAAATTAACCGTTATGTGAAATCCGTTTTATCCAAATTATTGATATCGTTTTTATTCTAAACGTTAGGTTGTAGGATTTTGAAATTGTAATAGCTCTTAGATAATAAATCAATAAGTGAACTTTGTTGGAAGAAAATTTTTTTCCACCACTACTCCCTATCTCAAGTTATTGCCTCTCGAAATTTGTTAAATTTGAATTTTTGGTACCTTAAATTTCCGAAACTGCGCAAGCTTTTCTAAATTTTTTAAAAATGTAGAAAGTTTACGGTAAATGTCACGCATTATTATTTTCATTTATTGAAGGGAAAAGTGCTCATTATAATCCATTGGTTTGACCCACATTTATTTTTATTAGAAGTCTGGAAATTTATGGGAAATTTGAATTGTTTAAGACAAGTGAACATCTTGTAGGAATCGAATTTTTTTTAGGATAAATACACCTATACTTACCCTAGAAAAGTAAAAATTTTTTCAAAGGTGACGATACCCGGTTACACTTTGTTAATTCAGTACTATTCAATACTATTGCAATTATTCATTGTAATTGTGGACAAAATAAAATATTTCGCTTCCGATAGAAAATATTCTAAATATATGTATAACATTTGTATTCAGAATGATTCAATTTAAATGAATGATTTGATTTCGCTTATGATTTGCCGATCTTAGGCCTCTTTTAACATTTTAAGAAAATTTTAAAAATTGGGAAAAATCATTAAATATAATAAAAAAATTTAGAAAATATTTCAAGGTTATTGTTTTTTTCTGTTTGTATAAGTATGCCGTATCATGTATTGAATATTTAATTAAATATTATTGTGAACGAAATGATTCGTGATTAGATTAGTAAAATGCATAAAACGAAAATGAAGATTTTTATACTTTTGGCACTTGTGTTTTCGTATATACTGCAGACATTTTAAATAAAATTTATGCTTGCATATATTTGCACAATTAAAAATATAAATCAGTTTAGTAGCCTAATTTTCTTATCTAGATATTATGGAATTTAACATATATATATATACATATATATATATATATATATGTATATATATATTACACATATGTTATATTATATATGTATGAAATGTAACAGGCCAATTTTTGAAAATTTATTTGATTAAAAATATTATCAAGATGTATAACAAATCTTAATAAAAAAAAATATTTCAAAAGTATAACAATATTGTAAATTTAATTTAAAATAAAATTAAACTAGAAATTAAAAATATACATAAACCTATATTAAACAACTCTTTCCAATTTTGGGCTGTTTTCAGGCTTTGTAATATAAAAAAAAAATCAGTTGATGTCTAAAATAAATTGAGGCATTGAAAACAAAAACATTTTTGAACACACGATCTCAAAATAGCTATATAGAATTCCATACATCAAATTTGTATTTCCTTAATTCACCTTATTAATTCAGCGAAAAAGATCCTCTGTAGGAAGGTGTTTTATAGTGAATTTCTAATACAACATGTAGTTATTTTCTAATAATTGTGCCTTTTACACTAATAATATTAACTCAATGGAAATTTTTTCATACAACTGTAGAACAGATGGATGATGTAATCAAAGGAACGAATCAATGGCAGAAAATTTTTCTTCTCGGACTGAACTCGAACCAATGACCTACTGCCTTGTAGCCGGACGCTCCACCAAATGAGCTACAGAGGTATGAAGAAATTGCCGATGAATTGTTCTTCATATTGCTTTCTTCACGTTGCTTTATTCTTCTATTTGAAACACACAATCATAAGAACATATATAAGGTATTGTGACTATTACACTAATATACTGAATTATTAATACAACCTGGAGTTGTTTTTATTTAATAAAGGTGTTTTTTCTATTATAAACAGATAATAATTTAAATGTTTTCAAACTATCGTTTTTTTATAACTTACATCTTAGTGTAACGGTCTATTTGTCTGTCCGCTCGTCCGTCCGCATGATAACTCAAAAACGATGAACCATAACCCAACAAAATTTTCAGAAATTGTTTCATTACGATTAAGAACGGCTGCTTTTGTATTGGGACCAATTCAACTATCCAAATCAAAACAGTTGATTTGGGTAACTATTATACAAGTCAACAAGATTTTTTAAATTTTCAAATTTTTTAAAAACTAATATATATAGCCAACTTCAAGAAATTGGAAAGTTATTGGCTCTGATAAAATATAATTGCCATATAAGCTATAAAACTGCAAATATATTAACAAATTTTCTGTACGGAAATGCATAGAAAAAATTAGTAGGTATTAATTTTTGAAATTTTTGTAAGCAGAGAAAAAGAAAATGAGAATAAAATCAATTGTTTCAGGTGCCGATGAAATTATTACGTATAACAATAATTGAAATCTTTAATATGAGTCACAAGTCACAAAGTATTATTAATTTTTTTTTTTTCATTATAAGAGGTCAATACACTTTTCTATAGTATAACATTTTTAAAAGTCATACGTGGTCTAAAATTTAATTTGCTTTCGGTCATATACCTGCACTTTATACGACATTATGCTTCAATTAATGTTATCAAAATAAAAGTATGTACATATATATATATATTAAACATATAAACAAAAAATTAGAAAAAGATTTAAACTTATGTTGAATGCATACTTAATAAAATTCAAATTTCTGCATTGTATAATTGGGGTTTTCTCTAAGGTTTTTTCTAACTATACAAGTGTATAACATTTATTTGCATGTCATAAAAATTTTGTCATTTATATTTACATTCAACACTTTGTATCGCCTTCAAAAATTCGTATAAGTATGTACGTATGTATTAAATATATTCTGCGTAAATTTTATATAACAAAATTACTTGTTAGTTAAAAATTTTTGTTTTGTTATTTTTAATGTAAAATATTATGATTATTAATTAAAACACGTCTTATACGCCCTATTATGATTTATTGTAAAGACTGTGAACTTTTATTAACCAAAAACTGAAAAAAAAAGGTTGTAAAGGGCATTTTATTTTTAGAATATCGCGGAAATTTTAGAAATTCTTAGAAATTCATAATTGAGGGGAAAAATAAACCAGAGTACATTATTGTCCAATGAGACTTTATTTTTACACGAACGTACTAAAAATATTTTTCTATATAATTCATAGATGGCATTTTTTTTTATTATTTTCATTTTTGAACAATAATCTTTTGCATAATATCTCTGAAATACGTGTTCCAAATATCGATGGTTATATTGTGGACATTGGATGTGTAAAAATAATTAAAATACTAAATACTATGAATTATTTTAAGTAAATATATTTTAATCCATATATTATTATAGTTGTATGTATATATACAAAATAAACTAAATAGTTAACATACAAATGAAGAGAATCATAAACTGTAAGAATTATGTATAATAAAATAAATGAAAAAAAAAGGTTATGTTGTATGTAAGTTAAAAATATTATGTTATACATATTCAATTTATTTTTCCACTATTGGTTAAAATATTAATATAAATAGGCTTACATATTTTAAGTAAGTCATATTCAGTTCAAATACTTGATTAAGTAAACATTTTCAATATTCTTAGATATTTACAAAAAATTTATAAAAATGTTCAAATACGTAAGTTCTTCTATATATTGTACATACAAACATATACAGTTAATTAATTTTTATAATTATATCTAATGTATAAATTTATTTCGGAAATTATAATATTATATTATTAAAATTATTTAGTGTATTGTTGTTATTGCTGTAATTGCATCAACCTTTGCAAAACCACAAATTTTAGCTACTAGTAGCCAAGTTGTACATCGTAGTTTTCATGGTGTTGCTGCACCATATGTTGCAGCCCGTTATGTTGCAGCCCCATATGTTGCTGCTGCCGCTCCATATGTAGCTGCTGCGGCTGCTCCTGCTCGTATTGTTGCTTCAGCTCCAATTGTTGCTGCTTCAGCTCCTGTTGTTGCCGCTCCCGCTCCAGTTGTTGCCGCTCCAGCTCCAGTTGTTGCTGCACCAGCTCCTGTTGCCCGTTACGCTGTAGCACCAGCAATAGGTACTCAATTTGCATATTCAAGCCCATATGTAAATGCCGCATCATATGTATTTTGAACTGTGATATCATTTTAATTCAAATAAATATAATTCGATAAAATTAAATATTTTTTGAAAAATACAAACAAGTTGTTATGTATATGTGTATTTTTAGATTTAAACCAAAACAGCATAGAATTTATACATTTTTTTTGTTTTATTTTATTGAGGGAATTTTTCTCAAAATTTTTTATAAAATTTCAAAATAAAATGTAAAGTATTTTGTATACATATTGATAAATCAGTATTTTATTAATTAAATAATAAAAGTTTAGATTGCCATAATCTCATGAAAGAAAAGATCAAGATCACAGCATTTTGTATTTTGTCTAAGTTATGTAAGTTTTCTTGTTATGTACTTTCCATATCCGTTATTAGACCTACCATATATAAAATATTGAACCATAATAAGACTATTTTTGGAAAATATATATTTTTAGGTCTTTTTAGTAACTCTCACTATGGTAAACATGGTCATGGGAAATGATGCATTTTACATAGATCATTATCTTGTTTATTTTTAGTAGGGATGCGGAATAACGAATTTGTTGTTGTTATTACAATTTTTCAATAATTTCTATTATATTAATAATAAATTATTAAAAATTATTGTTAATGTTTACTCAGAATTTTAAAGAAACTCATAGTTGGAACGATCGTTAGAGCATATTAAAAGGGTCGGTATTCTATGTCAAATTCGAACCGAAAAATAATATTGCATGCTTTTAATCATAGAATATTTTCAATTATTCGGATACTCAGATAATACTTGAAATGTTGAGTTGATTTTACATCAATGTTTCATACCATCAAACATTACAGGACCAAACCAAATGTTTGAATCGTTTTGATCTGTCAAAATTTGTATTATTAAGAGAAATTTTAATAAAATTTTTATTCGTGGTAAAACTACAAAAATTCAACGCTTTTATTTTATAATTTTAATTCGTTTACGACAAATATTTTAAATTAATTGAATGAATAGTATGTAATTATTTAATGTATGAAAATAATGTAATTCATTTAAATAATTTGAATTGTTAAAAATCGCTTTGTACAACTTTTAGAGGTTAAAAAAATTTCTCTAAGTTAAATTACCCGTTGTCAACAGTAAGTTTTTGTAAACTTATGTAGTACGTGCCTCCGTTTCATTTCTCAATATGTAAAGAAATATTGTATATGTAGCTGTATCTTATGAAATTTATGTAATTAAATTAGGAAGATAGGATATCTTTGAGGTCCAAATGTAATTATATACACCGTGTTTTCTCAATTTTATTAAAAGGTAAAAGGTACAACAAAGTAATCTAATAAAAAAATATACAGGAGGGTTAAAAAATCTTGGATTATACTTAATTTGTTGCAAAGAAAGCTTATTTCCGTATTTGAAAAAGCTTAATCTTAAATTTCTCGTGTAGCCACGATATTTCTAAAAAATTTTGAAAATATTTGGTAATGAAATGAAAATAATGCAAATGTCTTTCAATTTGATGATTAAAAAATTTTGTTTTAAAGTAGTGTTCAGTTAATTTTTTAATGTTTCGACCTCAGGTTCTCGCCTGATAGACATACATATTATTTCTTTGCGTTTTTTGCAATATTATGTACCATATCAAAATGAAGGCCAGAATACAAAGCTCTCCAGTTCTTTAGAAAATTATTAAGTTACTGAGTTGTAATTATTAGTAAATGAGGATTAAAGGAAAATTTATTGGAAATTTTTTTAAAAATATTAATTTTGCTTTTAAATATTTTGAAATTTATAAGAAACTAAAAAAATCTTCAAAATCGCTGATACAAGAGGAATTCCATGTGAATAAAAACGTAAAAATTAACCCGGTTTTTAGAAATTCAAACTTTGGTACCTAACAGATAGAGAAGAAGCCCAAAAGGCAAATTCCTGCGAGAGTGCTGTTAGTTTACGGACACTCTATATAGAAACAATGTATTTGATACTAGTAATGAACCGAAAGTAAATTCAATTAAAATTTTCAAATATTTTTAAGAAACATTGCATTAACCAGCCTTAGGATTGTTTTTAGTTAAATTTCAAATTTTCAAATAAAATTTTTACGAAACTCATAAAAAAATTTTAATGAAATATTAGATTTATCCGAGTACTAAATATTCTAATTAAACATTACTATTTTCAATTAATTGAGTCTAAAATAAATTTTTAACACCTAAGTTAACATTATTTATAGAAATAATTATAATAGAACAGAGATTTTAGTTTTTTAAAAATTTTATTTTAAAATAAACAATTTATATTAAAAGAATTTATTACACAAAAATTGCACAGTCCCATTAGTGCCAAAAATTTTCTTTTTTTGTAAATTTACAAATAGAATGTTATCACAGTTTTAGAAGAAATATGGTGAAGAAGCTGCATATCTCAATGGAGCTGATGCTGCAACATAAGGATTAGCTGTATAAGGATAAGAAAATGGAGCAATGGCAGCAGGTGCAGTAGCATAAGCTGCTGGAGCAACGGCAGCAGGTGCAGCAGCATAAGCTGCTGGAGCAGCAAATCGAGCAAAAGGTGCTGCTACTCCTGCTGTAAACGGTGCAGCAAATGGTACTCCCGCAACATATCTTGCATATGGATGAGCATACGATCCGGCGTATGCTGTTGGTACTGGAGCAACAAGTGGTGCTGGTGCAGCAGCTGCTACTACCGGTGCATGAAAACTACGAGCTACAAGTTGACTACTTGCTGCAGCTACTACCGGAGCCACTAATGGAGCAGGAGCGACAGCTGGTCCAACAACTGGAGCAACACCCAAAACAGCCGGTTTAGCTGATACACTTAAAATGGCAGCCAATAGAAAAGCACACTATAAATATAAAATTTAATACAGGTAAACTTAAATTAATCCTTTCGTTAAGAAATATCCTTTTATTATAGCTTACATATTTGAACATTTTTAAAAAAAAAATTATTTTAAATAATGAATATTAAAAAAAAGTAATTTAAATGTTGCTTGAAGAGCTCTTTCAATTGAATATGATTTATTAGTAAGCAAACTGCCTTTTTATATTCAAACTTCTGCATCGAATTTTAATTTTCAAAAAAAAATATTTTACATGGTGTTATTTACAAGAAAACATTTAAATCGTCTATCCATAATGCATTTTGTAACAAATCCATCACTAACACGGTGGAAGAAAGAAGCCAAAAAAAAAAATTAAAAATAAAAAGATAACACAAAAATAACGTGCTCCAACTAAGGATTGCATTGAGTACGCGGCCCTGATTATTAATTTTTATTGAAATTTACTGTTCAAATTAAATAAATATTAGCAAATAATAAGTAAAACTATCTTTGCAACTTTAAATTTTGCTTCTTTTTCATTTTACCTTGGCATGTATGCACAAACAATATACTTACATACCTATATACATATATATAACGTACATTATAATATAATTACTCGCATTGCACTGTTAGTCAAGCTATCACCATTATAATTCGCAAAATAAAAAATTGTCGTGTAAATATGTTTAATAAGCAAGAAGGAAATTCATATGTAAATATTATTAATTAAAATTAAATGGATATGTGCCTGTTTAAATAATTTAAGGTGTCTGCAATAATTATTGGAATCACAAAATTTTTTTTTTTGGAACTATGCCGATCTGATTGAATTACAAAAGAAGGCACTTAGTTATGAGAATTCCTAATAGGTTTCATTATATAAAGGGAATGAAGAGATATACATTCATATGTAAGTACATACAATAGCACTCACATACATATTTGGTTATTTTTTCTGATAGAAAAGAAAAATTACGCATAAAATATTGTTTTCTGGGTCATTTATCGATCAATTTAATTAGATAAATTAGTGATTTTTCATTCACATTGAAAAAATCCTTTCGATACTCTGGAAGTTCTCGTATAAGATTTGTTGTATGATTCAGGTATGTCGGAAGAAAAGAAACTGGACGTTCTCTCTTGTACCTCAAGCGTTTTACCACTTACATACATGTGCCGCGCTTTGTAATACATGTTGCAACACACGCATCAGTGTTAAGGCTGTATTATCAATGCACCCTTCAGATAATGTCAAAAAGGGATATAAAACAGTTTCCAAAATATCTGCGTGGCAACTTGTATAGTAATTAGGTCCAATCTCCAAGTTTTTGGAACTATAGGCAACTAATTTTAGAAGAAATTCCAAATACTATTTTCTAAAGACTGTTTAAAATTTCATTGAAGAATGGTGGATTGGATTACGACTCTTTTTTAACTCTTAGAGACTCTGCAGAAAAAGGTGGAGCGTAAGCAAACAAATTTTTCGAAAATCATTACTTGTTATTGGCAATTAATTTCAAAATAGAAATTTCTAATTGTAATTGATTTTTTCCAGATAGTTGTAAAATATAAATTACACTAAAATAAAAGCTTCTTTAAAATAATATTATAATAATGTCTACTTACATATATCGGTCTCTATCACAATATATTCCTCAAATTTTCTAATTCTTTCGCTTCTAGCGATTCTAACGCAGTACGCGAGCAATTTCGCCGAGGAAATAAAGAATGTGCTGACAATGGTACTGATAGTAGCACAGAGAATGGCACTGACGATGGCACTTTTGTTGGCACTGGAGTTGGTGGTGGGACTATTGAAGACGTGATCATGCGGCTACAAGTCCGCTGTCGTTATATGGTCTACAAATATACAAAACAATTTATTTGATTTCCAAGTATTCAATTAATAGAAAACCAATGAATGCGTTGGAGTATTTCTTAAATGTTAGGCGAATTTACCCAAATCGTCAGAATAAGTGGAGTTTCCTTGACAGCATCCATTGCCATTACATCGTTTCATGCTCATTTAGCAATTTGTTCACGAATAAATGGATCCTTCCATCGTTTCTATTTCAATTTTTCTGCCCATACCAAAATTTATCTTTAAATCGCTTCACCAGCCCAATGTGGTTCCACGCATTAGATTTCCTTCACCTTTCTCCACATTAGATTTCCGTACTACTAGCAGTATTTTGATTAGTAAACTAAAAATATACATATATTAAATATGTAAAATACAATTTAACATGTAGGTGAAGAAATACATTGTACATATACATTATATGTATCAGCTTGGAATTCATTCATGGTTAGTTCTGAAAGAGAAATATGATTAGGAGAATTAAAAGGAGAATTATTTGGGAGTAAATTCAAATAAAGTTTTAACTGGGGCTATGGTTACTTTGCTTAGGTACTTAATTATTTTACATATGTACATAAAAAACGTTTCAAAGTAAAGCAAGCAAAGTATTATTAAATCGTTTAGGTACTTGATTAGATTGTAAATTTCGACGTCTGCATTTTTAAGAATTGACTTCGACAACCACTAAAAATTAATTTTGTAATCCGTTGACTCCCATTTATAATCTATAGCCTGCAAATATTGAAGTAGCATTAAAATAAAAAAAGACTACTATTTTAAAATTTCAAACTTTTTGACAATTTTTTATTATTTATACAAAAATATTTCTAAAATTAAAAAAGAAAAATTAAAGAGCATTTATTTCAATTTTTAAATGTCATGAATAAAATATGTCCCATTATAGGATAAAGTTCAATTTTCATTTTAAGTAAAGACAAGTACATAAAATATTATTAACAATATAAATTTAAAAATAATTTTTCGAAAAAATATAGAATAGGTCTACAAATATACATAATTACATATTATGTAAGCATGAAATTTTAATTATGCATATATAACAAATTTTTTTTTTCATTCTTCCTAGTATAAATGTGCGATCAAGTTCCTCAAACAAATGTAAATTGTACAAAATTTAATATAGAGCAATCTGAGCAACTTTGTAATTACTGGTACTCGTAATTACGAGGACTCGTAATTACATATTTTAAAAGAAAAAAATAAAATAGGAAAACTTGTGCTTTAACCCGTAAAATATAGTAAAAATACATGATTACCTATCTAAATTTCAAACAAAAGAATAAAAAAATATCTATAAGTACCAAAATAACATTCATGTAAAAAACATCATTTAACATAAAAAACAAGATACTTTTTTAAAGATAACAAAATTTTGAGAGACACGCAAGAGTATTTTTAATTAAATTTACTTAATGACATTATAGACAAAACGATCTATAAATTAATTGCGGTTATATCGTAATACTGTAGATGAGAGAATGTCAATCAGTCACATCATTAAAAAATATTAAATATTAAAATAAAGAAATTTTTGTTTTTTAAATGTATTGCAAATTTTTTTCATAAAAATTACCCAATCACTGCATAAAATTTATTAGGATTTTTCTTAGAAAATAAAAATTAATTTGTGAGAAAAAAATAAAATTTAGCTGCTCATTTGAACATACATACATACATAGATATATAAATTAAATGTAAATTTTACTTTTAATTTTTATGTTTTGTTTTTCTAATTTGTGCTATCTTACTTAATCTTTGAATACTTATTTTTTTTTATTTCAACTATGAGTCTTTAAATATAAAATATTTCTCAGATTTAAATTTTTTTTACTCATTTAATTATCGCAAATTTTGATTGCTAATCACACTGCAACTCAACTATATTCAATATTTGTAATATTGTAACAAAGTAATATTTTCTGTGCGCACATTTTTAAAACTTATGGAATTTCAATTTCATTTCGAAGCTAATTTAAAGTTCTCTAACTTTAAGATATACATATTTTTAAATATCATTACTATCACTATTTCCTAAAGTAACATTTGTTATATCTTTAACAATCATTTCCGCAATTTGCCATGCAATTTCTTCTTGAACTTTATCTTCAGGTAAATTGACAAATTTTCGCATAGCATTTTTTAGTTTATGACTACCGCTTGCTAAAGTCCATTTTTCTTCATTGTTAAAATTAACTTCAAAATCCCGCTCATACCGACCTAAAGAATTTACACGACCAAATATTAATCCATTTCTAAAAATATCACACAAAACAAATATTATAGCATTTGGTTTTAAATGGTTAGTAAATTTAAAATATTACCTTGAATTTCTCTTCCACAATAAATCCGGATCATTTAAATGTCTTGAATCAATTTTCATGTCTGCCGATCTACTTGTTTTAAATTTTGAATTTTCCATTCCTTGCCCCGATAAACTATTTTGCTGCGATAGAAAACGTTTCTTCACTTCTTTTGTGCTCTCAGCAGTACAATCCGAAAGAGTTTTTCGATGTCTTATCATTTTGAAGCCACTTTTAATTCTATTCGAGTTCGTTTTGATGTCTGACGAATTATAATCGGGAATCTTTGATTTTAAATCGTTAAAATAATTAACAAATAATTGAGAAGATAAAAACTCTTGAAAATAAACTCTTTCAAAAAATAATTCTACTACTTTAATTGCAACATCAAAACATTTGCAAATTTCATCTATTTCACTAGAACAAATTTTTTCTTCAATTTGACTTCTTATTCTACTTGAAATAGGTAATGGATTATTAGCTTGTAACGAAAAGTACTTATCATATAATATCATCGCATCACTTTGTAGCAAATCTTCTGAACTTTCAGTATCAGAATAAATATCCTCATCAGCATTCATAGACAAATTTAAATAGTGTTTGCGAAAATTGATAGCAGCTACCCAAAATTCTAAAAGGCCGCGATGGTTTTGCTTCTGTTCTAAAAATTCCATAAAATAAAACAAAGCTGATTCACTATGTAGGATATCCGAAATAGTTAAAGATCGAACATTGGACAATATATCAACAATATATTTGCAGTAAAAGGAACTTTCTAAAAACTCGCTTAAATAATCTGCTTCCAGTCGTTCTAGAATATATTTTTGAGCTTCGGAAAAACATTTGCACGATATTGAGTTTATATCTTCCTCAGAGTTATCATCCGTCTCAGAAGTTTTATTGTTATTGTCATGGTTTTTTTCGCTATTTTCATAATCGGCAGAACTTTTATTTTGCGCACATATTTGTAATGATATTGTTGATAATATTGTTGCAGGGATATCAATAAAATATGGCGAATTGCTTGTTAAATATTTACGATATATTCGAATCGCATCTGATGCAATCGATGTGTAAACATTTTTTTGTCGAATAGCCATTTCTCTACTTGAAACGTTAGGTTTAAAGTTTTCGCAATTTACATTAGAAGATAGTTGCTCACTAAAATTGTTGGCACTTATACTCTTACTTATTCTTTTATGATAAATTTTATTGTTTTCAGCAAGCACTAGCAAGGACTTTTCGTCATCTGTTAACGGTTTTCGTAACGATAAATCGCATAACGTTTTTAGTTCAGGTACGGTTTTTAGACTATTTAAATTGCAATTCTTATGCAAGTTTACATTTGTGTTAATTTGTTCATTAGATTCATTTATTTGATTAATTTCTGTAATTTCTTTATCACTCATTTGTTCTTCAAGTTTTTCATCTAAGCTCATGCTACTATTACTTATCAATTGGTCGCAATTCATTGTTACATTCGTTAATTGAGAACCGAGTGAAACTGAATCGGTTACATCGAAATTACTACTATTTAATGAGATCTTATCAAAATTATCGGATGAAATACTTTTTGAATGATGTCTTCTGATTGCATTAGAATAATTGTAATAATAATAATTATTATTATTTTCAATAGAAGCAATTTCTTTTTCGGCTACTGTCTTAAAACTTTCCGAGTCCAAATAAAATTTAATCAAAGAGAGAGCACTTTTAGTTTCCAAAAATTGGATAAAATAACTTAAACATGTTCGATCTGCTAAAATATCATAGAGATTCATTGATAATCGGGAACGTGGTTGTACAGCTTCTACAAGTAAATTAAAAAAATTAAAATTAATTAAATACATAGAAGATTATCCTTTTAAATCATTGCTTCATATATACGTACATATTTAAAATATTTCTTTTGTTTGTAATTAGTAATTGCATATATTGTTATTAGAAATTTTATCAATTCGAACTATTTCTTTCACCTTGTTTTAATGCGAATCATCGGCAAAAACTTGTAAATCGGTTTTCAAGTAGTATGTACATACATACATAAAAATACAAATGTTATGAATTGAGGGAAAAATATTTGATGGATCCACTATAAGTTTGATTATTATATAAAATTTTCACTACATTAAGAACAGGAATGTTTGGTAAAAATATTTAATTTTTTCTTATTAAAATTCAAATTTTTAAAGCGATAACTACGCGCTCAAAATGAGAAAAGGTCAATAGCCTATTTAGAATCCAAGACATTTTCTTTATTTTTAAGCTCTTTCTTGGATAATAATTTTTATTTGGGTCAAAAACCTTAGAACTAGGTTAACCAGAATTATGTATAGTTGGCGATCAAAAATGCTAAACCTATTAACAAGAAATTAACAAAATATGTATATGCAAATGAATTTTTTTAAGTTGAATATCAGGATTTATAAAATTATAATGGAATTCAGTTCTAATAAATTCAATAATGAATTTTTAATTCGTACCTAAATAAAAATATCTTATTATTAATCTTAAATATATGTGGGTACATTACTTATTATTGTTAAAACTTAAATGAGAAATATGCGCAATTAAAAATGAAGAGTTAAAATAATTCGTTATACTCAAACTTTTAATTTTTTTTCCCGAAAATAGATTCATGCATAAGCTTAAAAACTAAAACAAGTTTTTATATTACAATAACACACAGCATTCTGTAAATTTAAGTGGGCAATTACTTAAAGCTTTATGAGATTTTATGAAATAAAATTTACAAAGAAATTAAGAATGCCAATCTTTCTCCCCCGCTTGTTGTTTGTTAAATATGGGTAGGTATACATACATATCCAAATGAAAAATCATAAATAAACACATTTGTCATTTATTGAATCTAATTAGGAATAAACACATTCATGGAATAGCCAAATAGAATGTAGAATACAGTAAAAATCTAACCGAAACTACGTAATTTCTTAAAATCTATTGGTATTGTCATATGAAATATGAAGAAAAAAAAAAACAAAAAATAAAAACTAAAGTGAGAAAGTTATTAATTTAATATCGCATTAAAATAAGCTTACCATTGATTTCATGATTTTCTAAATATTCATCTAAAGGTGTATTATCTGTTAATTGCCACGATGACATCGAATTTCCTTTAGTTTTTTCCGGCACAAATTTTTCATCGTTAACAAATGAACGGCCTGAAAAATATGTCTTAATATTCAATTTCATTTTTGTTTCTGCAAATAAATATACCAGATTTCTTTAAAAAATTGAGCATTTTAAATTATTTTTGTTACATTATTTTTTCACATTTTTTTGCAAACACACATCGATTGTAGTAAAATTTAAATTGAAGAAATATAGAAGGATGCCCAAATATAATCAAAATATTTTTATTTTGAGTTAAATAAATAAACAAACGACCTCGAAAAAATGCTAGACTACTTCTCATCTCTCATCGCAATTTTGATAATAGATTTCACAGGTGAAAAAAAATCAAAATATGCCAAAGTTTTTGTTTTTTGTTTTCTTTTGATTGTCATTTTCATGAAATTCAATTCAACGCTAAATATAAGAAAAGCGACACCATGTGGTGAGAATTACAAATACTTTTCATATATTTAAAATAGTCAAAAAATACTTTCTTTCACAAATTATAACTATTTTTTGAATTACAACTAAGTTATTATTGATGACCATTAAATCTAGATCGTAAGCAATCAGTAATTTTACAGTAATATTCTTTAGAATATGTTTTCAGTCATTTATAGTAAAGCGTAAAATGGGGAGTGGCGAAAATGCATACAAGTATACTAATCAAGTATGCTTTTATTATAAATTAGAAAATTCTTACACCATTAGATTTGATTTTCATTGTCACAAAAATGAGAATGATTTGTTAATGATAATAGTATTATAAATATTGTTATAAATATTAATGTTTTGTTTCATTTATTTAAAATATTAAGCGTTTTACTTCATGTTCTGTTTTATTCATATTTTTTTCAGTCAACGTTCTTTATATAATTTTTATTTTTCAAATAAAATTAAATTTATAGATATATTCTCACTAATATTTGTATTTGAAATCTTCTGTATGGGGAAAAGGTACGTTCTTTTAGGTAAACAAACAAAAATTGCTACATACGTAATATAAATAGAGACTTTTCGTTCAAAATATCTGCCAGTATTTTGTTGTTCAGTTTGACATTTGTGTTATATTAATATAATTATACATATGAAGTGACAGAAGAAAACACATGTGACATTTGTTAAACAAATTCCATTCCATGTTCAAAGTTAAACTTTAAAAAACACATTTCATATTGTATATACAGAATCTACGAAACATTAATTATACATAATATATTAAAAATTAAAAGTCTTAAGCATAAATATGGAAATTGAAAGTGGTGAAGGACAACTTCAAATTCATTTAAAAACCAAGCAAACTCAGTAAATATTTAAACTTAAATTGTTAATTTATTGGAGCTTTTAATCTTGTTTTGCATGTTTGTAGGTATGCTGTTCCTGATGCTCCTTATTCTATTGGAGCCAATATCTCGACAACAGAATTAAATGATTTGGTGAACACAATATTAAAGGAAACTGATACTGATCATAAGGATGTTGAATTCGATTTTTTGGTTTTTGATGAATATTTAAAGTAAAAATTTTATTTTTAAAATAAAAGTATGTATTAATAAAAATGATTTCTTGTCGTAGAAGTAACTTAGGAGATCATTTAAAAGAACGAGGCATTTCTTTTGAGGATATTATAAATATTGAATATGTTGAAAGATTTCCAGCGCCCGAGCCGCAAGATTGTTTGCTGCATGATGATTGGGTATCAGCAGTTAAAACTCAAGATAAATGGGTTCTTACTGGATGTTACGATAATACAATAAATTTATGGTCTATAAAAGGTGACCATATTTTAACAATACCAGGTCACACAAATCCTATTAAAGCTGTTGCTTGGGTTAGTTTAAATGATGAGACCGGTATTTTTGTAAGGTTAGTTATAATACTTATTTTTAAGTTAACCAGGTTTTATTAAACATTAGAAATATAATTCATGAAATTTTCTATTTTCTTGTTTCCTTGTTCATTGTAGTTGTTCTCAAGATCAAAATGCAATGCTTTGGGAATGGAATATTGCACAAAATTCTGTTGACTGTGTTTACACGTGTAAAGGTCACGAAAGAGGCATAGATTGTGTTGATGTGAACGCTGATAAAACTAAATTTGCTACCGGTAGTTGGGATACTATGCTTAAAATTTGGTCGGCTGGTAGGTTTTCACATACATATATTCAGATCATTTTATATACAATACTTTATTTTTAGATATTAGTGATGTAGATGATAGAAAACGTTCCAAATCTGAAACTGGTGCAACAAGGGTAGGTATTATAATTCAGAAAATCATTTTTTTAATTTATTTTTTATTTTTAATTACGAAATTTAACTTCTGTGTGTAGCATCTTTATCGATAAAAATTTATTTTAGACTCCACTTGCTACTTTACAAGGTCACCGTGAAAATATATCTGCTGTACAATGGATGGATTCTGACACGATCATTACGGCGTCATGGGACCATACAATAAAATTTTGGGATCTAAGTTTAGAGGGCATAAAAAGTGAAATTACTGGAAATAAATCGTTTTTTGATATTAGCTATTCAAAACTCAATGGGCTTATTATTACCTCTTCAGCAGATAAAAACTTGCGCTTGTATGATTCTCGCACAAATCGTAAGAAATCAAGATTTAAAAGAAAAATTTAATAATCGACATTGTTTTTAGAGGGATCTGTTGTAAAGAATACTTATTTTGGTCATACACAATGGATTCCAACAGTTAATTGGTCGATGGATTATGAACATTTATTTGTATCCGGATCTTATGATAACCAAGTAAAATTGTGGGATTTAAGAAGGTATAAAAGAAAACCCGTATATTGATAATATAAGAATATTTTTTCAAAAAAAAAAATTCTTTGCAGTCCCAAAGCTCCATTGTACGATTTAATTGGTCATGGCGACAAGGTTATGGCGACAGATTGGTCTAATAAAAAATATGTTGTTTCTGGTGGTGCAGATAATTCGGTTAGAATATTCAAGATAAAAAAAGCTTTTGAAAAAATTAAAAATTAATATACATAAATATCTGCATAGTTTAAATTTATATAAGTTTTTGTCAAATCAAATACTTTTTTCTTTCATTCGAATTTTCTACATATTTATGAAGTATGCCTGTGTGCATGTATGTGCTGAGTACGTGAGTACCTATCCATTTAAATAAAGCTGACATAATGTTTATATATTTATATATTTTGAAAAAGTGCTCTATTTTCTGATATGGCAATTGTAGTGTAATTTGATCAAAACTCGTTTTATTAGATGTTATTTAATTAAAAAAATTGTCGCAAAAAGTATCTTGCAAGAAAAAAAACTTTCATACTTGGTGTGCTGTGAGCAGAATTCGGTCTTGTCGAGGGATTCCTATGGATATAACAGTTATAATTCGTAAAATCCGTATATCAAGTGTCATTGTAATTTCTAAACATACGAGTACTTTTATCTAATGAGCAGAGATAAAAAATAAAAATAAAAAAATATGCACAAAATATGGATACTGCTACGGTATCTATGCAAACCTGCGTCAAGGTGAATTAGGAATTGTTTTTAATTTCCCTTACCTTTTACCATTACTATTTTAAAAAGAGTTTGATTTGCCTACATTTCCAATATGCTTTACTCCCTTTCAAAACAATGATAATCGATACGCTTTTGACTTAAACTGGAAAAATTTAAGTCATAAGAATTTGACACTTGTATTGATACCACATCAATTTATGTTCCACAATAACCCATTACACATTACTTCAAAATCAAAAATAAAATAGTTTTTGTTTTGAAATGCTAGTAGCGTAATCTGTCCGGTTTTTTCGACATTTCTCTCAAAGTTATTAGTTTGGTTTGGTGGAATCGAAATCGAAGCGGTCATCGTCTTCTAATAAAAATTTGTTCTTTTTATATACGAAAAAAATTAATTTTTAATATTTAGAAAATATTTTAAAAGATATTATAAAGGTTTGTAGATTAAATTAGTGTTTATATTTTGAATATTTTGTATTAGGAAACTTCACAAATTGAAGAAATAAAAAGTGTACTCATCAAAAATTTTACATTGAAAATAAATTTTTTATTGACCAATGGCCTCGGTTTTTGCAATTAATACAATTGAATCCATAACATTGCCATTCAATTAGAATTTCCAATGTTAAATAATAAATATTTTAAATATTAAATAATTTATTTAAAATACTTAAATGTGCTAAAATATATTTTATCCTTGATAGAATTGATTTTCTTTTATAGTGAAAAAAATGTCAGACCTCAAAATGGCCGCTTTTTAAAGATTGATGCTGCTCTTTTTTGAATTCAAAATTTAAGAATTATAATAAAAATTTTAACTTTCGTGCTTGTATTTAGGATTTTTAGGAGTTTTGATCAATTGAGTAATCTAATTATAATAATTAGCTTTTATTAAAAAATTCTCAATAAATTTAAAAGTTTAGAACAAAGGAATCGTTTTCAAAGTAGGTAGATAGGTAAATGGTAGATAATAAGTACCAAAAATTCTTTAAAAAATTTTTTTCTTACTTTTCATTCAATTTGAAATGAATAAGATAGAACTTTTTCTTTTTTTCTTTTTTTTTGTTGCTTTCTTTTTTTGTGTCTTTTTGTATGTAATTTATATATATTATGTAGGTATTTAATGCTTCTTGTGAAAAAGTGAATTGATAAAGTGAATTGTGTAATATTTTTAGGGTTAAAATTTAGAGACGAAATGTCTTCAAGTGCGGGTTCAAGTAGTGGTGGCGCCGGCAGAGGACGTAGCGGAAGTGGATCAACGAACTCTGCTTCAGCAAATGACGCAAATAAACCTGAAGGGGGAAAAGATTCAAAACCAAATCCAAAAATTTCAAAAGCATTGGGTACATCAGCAAAACGTATACAGAAAGAACTTGCCGAAATTACATTAGATCCACCTCCAAATTGCAGTGCAGGACCAAAAGGTGATAATTTATATGAGTGGGTCTCAACAATTTTAGGTCCACCAGGATCTGTTTATGAGGGAGGTGTATTTTTCTTAGATATTCATTTTTCACCAGAATATCCTTTTAAGCCCCCAAAGGTAAGAGAAGTTTTTTTTATGTAATGTTAAAAATTTTTATAATTTATTGTATCTACCTATGCACGTTCTAATTTTCTTGATAAGTTGTGTAAAAATATTTATTTAATGCACTTACTTTATACAATATAAGTTTTGCATTATGTTAAAATTTTATGATAGCTCATTATTTTATACAGTATGAGAGCATTTGGATACATATTTGTCATCTAAGTGATTATAAATACATGGACGCGTATTCCTTTTAAACACTTCATGAAATTAAGTGTAATATAGTTAATAGTGTTTTTTAATTATATAGATTTAAACGCACAGAACCATCTCTGAATTGCAATCCAATATATTAGAATTTAGTTAGTTCAAGTAAAAATTTAGATTTAATTTGAAAAGAAAAAAACAGCAAAGCATAAATTTAAGGCCAATTCTGAAATTGAAAGTGCCTAGGTGTTTGAATTTTTTTAACTTTTTTTTCTTATGTGGGTGTTAAAGTAAATTGTTTTTACACATCAATTATGATTTTAACAATAAAATTTTACAATTCGCAAAATTTTCTGTGTACCTATGTCTAAAATTTAATTCAAAAGAATGTTAAAATTTTTTAAATGGCCATCAGTTTTTTTTAGTTATTGTATGGGCATACGCACCGATTGAAATTTTATTATGAACCAAAATATGCTTTTAAATGTTCTTATTGATTTCTTCGTACAATAATAAATGTTTCTATATACATACATATTTATGTTACTATTATGTATCTATATTACATTTTATTTAGATACATATAAAAAAGGATAATATTTATACTTTTTTCCAAAATCAATATACGAATACTTTCGCTTATATAACTAAGTACGTATATGCTTTTCAATCAATTTTTTTTATTCCCTGGGTTAGGTAGATAGTTTTTCTAAAACTTCTATGAATCCTGGTAACAAACAATTTGTTTTTTATTTATAGGTTACATTTAGAACTAGAATTTATCATTGCAATATTAATAGTCAAGGTGTAATCTGCTTGGATATTCTCAAAGATAATTGGTCTCCAGCATTAACTATATCAAAGGTTCTCCTTTCGATTTGCTCCCTCTTGACTGATTGCAATCCCGGTAAGTATATCATTAAAAATTTATTTAGAGCATTTTTATTATTTGCTCAATTTAACCTTTTAAATTTGCATTATTATTATTAGCTGATCCACTTGTTGGTAGCATTGCCACGCAATATTTACAAAACCGGGAAGAGCATGATCGAATCGCTAGACTTTGGACAAAAAGGTAATAAACTAAATTCATATTTTAACACAAATAATTAATATCAAATTTTTAATTTATTTTTTATTTTTTAGGTATGCAACGTGATTGCATAAATATTTTGATTATAAAAAATCAAGCACTACAATTATCCTATAATTATAAATAAATAAAAAAAAAATATTTCATTAAAATACCTAAAAATTTAAAAAAAGAAAAAAACAAAAACTGATAAAAAAAAGAATTCAAGAAAAATTATTCATACAAAACATATTAAACTGAATGAAAAAAAGCGACTTTGTAACCAATAACACAAAAAAAAAATAAATTTTGGGAAATAAAAAAATCATCACACGTTAATATGAAATTTAATTTTAAGAAATAGACTAAACATAACAATTTCTAAAGAACTTAATACTTTAGAAAAGAAATAACAAAAAAAAAAAATTTTAGATTTTTAACTTTGTGATTTTTGTTTGATATTTACGTTTTTGTTTTTTTTTTTCTTGTAAAATTCAAATCAAATAAAATTAGATTCACTTTAATTAAACTGAGTTCAAGAATGAGCAAAATCATTTGAGTTCCAACATCTAGCTACCAACTTTGAATTTATTGTATTCAAATGAATTTGTAAAAATTGACGTAAATTTAATAATGCTCTTGAATTGAAATTTTTCTGTATTTTTGTTTTTATATATAAATTAAAACAAAAATTTTTATGTATATATATATACATATGTATACATTTAGGAACTTTGGAAATGGTAGCTTGATGCAAGTCTGATTCTGATAATATTATTTCTACTCATTTATTTTTATTTCTGTTCTTAATTCATTATTCAAGTGGATTTGTACCCCACAATCTATGTAATTAGTTTTCAGTATAACAATATAAAAAAAATACTATAAAATAAAAAAAAACAATTCGAACTTTTGCGATCATTTATATAAAAATAATTTTGAGAATTGAATTCGAATTAAATTAAATTTTATATTTACTATTTGTATTAGAAATTAATAGTATATAATTTATCAAAGAAACAAAAAAAAAAAAATAAAATTATAAAAAAAAAAAAAAGAAAATAAAAAAAAATTTTTTTTAAATAAGATTTATGCATATGTACAGTTCCGTGTATGTATTTTTTAATTTCTTTTTCATATAATTTTAGTGTTTTTAGTTAGTTTTATGTTTAATTAAATTAAAATATACATACAAAAAATATTAATAATATAATTAAAACAAAAAAAAATATATAATTAATTTACTAAAATGTGTACTTTAGCTTGTTTAAGGAAAGTCATTGATAAAATATAAAAACAAAGAGAAAAAAAAAGGATAATGAAAAAAAAAAAAAACAAAAAAAAAAAAATTCTTTGTTTTTCTTTGTTGTTTGCTGTGAAAATTTGTTTCATGAGAAAAATTATGAATAAATTTTATAAAATAATGTCAATAGTATAGATGCTGCATGTGCATCATACACTGATGTTTGGGTATTTTCCATTCTAGTACTTAATTTGCAGTAAATTTAATAATTAAGTACCACACGAACTCTTAAAAAGTCAAAGATACCTGCTGTTATTTTGATTGAAAATGGAATTTTAATAAGGGAATACAAATGCAAATGAGACTCTCAGCATATTGTAGTGAGTACCAATAAAATAAATTATTATGTTCAATAGAGCTGTAATAACCTAAAGAATTGTTCTTTATTTTCAAAATACTTAGTTTACTCCTCTTTTCACCCTATTTTGACACAAGTTCGTTTTTTGTTAAATCTTAATCAATTTTTTAAGTAAAAAGATATCACAAAATAATAATGCGAATCCATTTCATAATAGAAATCCATTTTATATGCACATAAATGTTACAAAAAATAGTTTCTTTCTACTTTTTATGCATATACATACTCGTAATGCAATGAGATACAAATATTATTCTAATAAAAACATTTAAAACTTTTGAATATTTTTATTTAGAAAAATTGGTATTTAGAAAGAAAAGTAATAAAGTCTTGTAAAAATGAATTTCAAATTAGCATAATTTGGCAATAGTTTTGGTCTTTCAGCGGGTGAGATATCAGTATTTCTCGATTTATCATTGATTGCCTTATTTTTACTCTGCACATTAAGAATACTAATAATTTAATGGAAAAATGTTAAAAGAAACTTATAGAAAAAAAATGAAGAAGCAAAAGCTTTTCGAAACTCGTTAAGGCAATCTACATTATTGACGAATTCTAAACAAAAACTTAACCAATTGTCAATTCTCTACGCGTCAGTATATTATACCAATAATGTACAATATATAACTCAGAACTACCACTGTATAAAAATTCTTCTCCATTTTATATTCTCATCTTATGCTATTACTAAGTGAGTACCAATAAAATTTATTTTTTCTTAGCACTAATATGCTATGAAAAACAAAATTTTATCTCTTAACAATTAATTTTTATTATAATTCTTCTGTCGTTATATTATAGATACATTCCATTTACTAAATAATCAGCTTCAGTTCCGTATGGTGCTTTTCCTAATCTTCTAACTCTTCGGCCAACAGTTCGTAATCGACATCCAATTAATACAGCTAAGGCTGCGGTAACTAAAACTCCTTTGATTTGAATGAAATAAAATATTAATTTTAAAAAACTAAAAAAAAAAATTAATGCAAAATTACCTAAGGTTAAAGACAAAACTGCTCCACCTGGCCTTTCTGAATATCCATCATGATCTACAAATTCCATTTCCATTTTATAACCAGCATGATATGGTACTTTTACTTCGGCAATTTGATGAATATCAGAATGTTCTTTTTCAGATTTATTTAATTGTTTTTCAGAATCTTTTTCACCTTTTTTATGTTTATGTTTCTTTAGAAAAACAGTGAATAGCATAATTTTTTAAAAATTAATTTGTTTTGAAAAGTAGATACACAAGAGAAATTTTTAAAAAAATTTATAGTTATTACCTTTTTAGGAGGTTCCGTGGAATTTTCCGTATAATCTGCATACTCTTCAGAATTTTTCTTTGTCTCTTCTTTATTTTTTATTGATTTGTCATCATTTTGACTTTTAATAGAGTTTATATTGCCGTCTTGTATATTTGAATTATTATCACTAGCTGGAGGTGATGGTATATTTCCAGGTGTTATTTGAACGGAAACTGATGGATCAATTGTCTCTTGAGTAATTTTAACAAGTGTAGGTGATTGAAGTTTTGGTTGCTGTTGTTGTAATTGTTGCTGTTGAATATTCAAATTAACTGAATTATAAGGATTTTCTGGTACTGGTAAAGGTTGTAAAGGTTCTTGTTGAGGCCAATTCATGTTTGGTAGAATTATATGATCTTAAAAAAAAAAGAAATGTTGAATCACAATAACTTTTACAAGCTTTTTTTAAAATATCCCTAAAAAATCAAATCAGTTTTTCATGTTTTATATTATTTCATTACCTTGTGGTTGAATAATTCCATTTCTATATGCATTTTGAATTTCTTGTGGAACATAAATTCCTCTTTGATTTGGTATTCCATTATAAATTATAGAAGGAGAATTAGGGTTTTGATTTGGAAATGATGCAATATTATTTGATGGTATTTGTAATCCAGCTTTATGCCTAAAGATTTCACTATTTGTTTCTAAAAAGAATAAAGAAAATTTATTATTAGCAATGTAATTAAAAAATTTTCCCACTTAAAAACGATTAATTGAAGTAATTAAATTGTTTTACTAAAGTTAAAATATTAGACTTAAATCTTTTGAAATACTAGAAATTTATTGCTAAAGTATCTTTTAACATTTTTTTTATTACCATTTAAAATAAATTTTAATTTTATTTTTTTTCTTTTGGGAATATAAAATCTTACGTTTTACTTTATAATACTTACCCAATAAACCACCAACTTCCACGTTACAGTTATAAAACTGTTTAATTATTCAACAATTAAAATCTGTATGTGATTTTTTCACATTTCGGTGGTATAAATTAATTTGAAAGCTTAAATTAGACGTGTATTGTAATTATTCTTTAAATATGTATGTAAGTAGGTATAATATAGCAGTAATTTGAAATAAATCTTCAACTTTAACTTTATTTTTGGTTTCAAAGATCTTAATCATTACTAGAAGAAATACAAATAATATTTTTCAGAGTGTGTCAAATTTTATGAATGTATTTGCATAAAGAAGGCAAAGAAAAGTGTGTAAAATTCAAATTTTAGCATTTCAATGGTATAGTAATATAAATGTGAATGTAAGTATATGTAAATATCATAATAAAATATGAAAATAATTTGTGTGTTCTTTTTTAATTTAAAATTTCTTATATTGTAGAGTTCTTCAGTAAAACCGCAGAGTTCTTCAGTAAAATTTCTTATATCGTATTTTACTCTCTCAAAATTGGACAAAATACTTGAATGACAAAAGTTTTTTTTTATAAAAAAATGGCATACGTACACTTACATTTTTAAAAATAAGAAAACTGAGTTTGATATTATTTTTTGATTCCTATAGTTGCACAAGTAAACATTTTGAAAATAAGTCAGTCAAAATAATAAAAACTCTTTAACTATTATCTTTTATGAGAAAAATTTAATCTTAAAATACAAGTAAAAATTTACACGGCTATTTACCATCTGAATAGAAAATCAAAGAAAAAAGGAATACTAGGAAGTTCATTGTGACCCGATTGTGTCATTTTTATTGTAAGAAGTTGAATTTTGATGGTTTCATTTTTGATAAGTAAACGGTATAAGTTGGTAAAATGTTAAAATAATAAAGATAATTTAGTTATTTAATTTATAGGTACATAAACTACATTATTTATGATTGTAACATAATTTTATTTAAGCTGTAACTTTTTAACCTTAAAGTTCAAATTTTCTTTAGCGTATTTATTTGGTAAAAATTTTCTAGTATTTTTATTTACATATAGTAGGTACTTTTCAAAATTTCTCGCTTTTATGCATATTTTGATAATAATCAAATATATTTTGATGGTGTTTATAAAAGCAAAAATAATTTTCAATTTTATGAAATTATAATCAATTTTAACATCTTGTTCAGAGATTGTAAGAAAAATTATGATTTTGAAACTGTAAAACAAATATGCTTCTTTGTAAATTGTTTTCGGTTGAGGAATCTATCTTTGATTACAAAATGTATGTTATTTGAAAATTTATACATACACATACACAAACGTAAATAAAAAATATGTAAATAAAGTTTTTAAACAATTTTTTTAATTTATAACAAAATTACTCCATTTTTATTGTTTAAAACGGAAATTTTAATATATAAATAGTAAATATATTGAAATTAGCTTGATTAACTACTTTGTTCTATATTTAACATTCAAGTGGAATTATTTTAATCCGAAGTAATTTGCCTAAGAACTGTTGATTAGTTCACAGATTATAAAATTTTTAGTTGCATTTATGATATTAGTTGTAAATCAGATTGTCAATGAGAGAGAGTACCAACAAAGTTTGAGGGGAGTATTTAAAAATAATAAAAAAAAATTCAAATTCAAATTTAACATGAGAAAAGTTCGCCATTTTTGTATTGGCTCGCTACAAACCGGAACAAAGCGATAAATTCAGTTTGGACATAAATAATATTTTTTTCTATATTCTTAGATAAGCATCATCAATTCAGTTATTAAATACAATATAATATAAAGAACGCCATTTCCCTTGTTAGGAGCTAATTTTTTTTTTAACTTGATTGAGTAAATTATGGAATTGAATTATTGTATTATGGTATTTTTCAAATTTCATTATTTGTAATCCTTTCTTAAAAAAAATCTCCGCGGTCACGTTGCACTGCCTTACCCCGGTTATACAAATCTAGAATCCTATAAATTTCTATTTAATATTTTAACCATATTTTTTTTTTCATTAGCTTTTAGAATGTAATACATAATTTTAATAACGTATCTAGACAACTGTGAAAATACTACAAAGACTCTACCATTATAAAATTCTTAAAATAATATTGTTATATGCTAATTAGACTTTTTTTATTTAATACAAGTTTAAAGTCATCTTTCTAAAAATATTAACAATTTAATAAGTAAGAATTTTTAAAGTAAATTATACTTTCTTGATATATTTTTTATTATATTCAATTAGCATCATTCTATTAATATTAATACCTATGCGTATATTACACAAATAATTTAATTTAGAAACAGAAAAACATTAAGTTAAATATAGAATTTATATAATTTGGTTGACAAACACAACCATAAGATTATAATCAAATCTTGTTCACAATTTTTACTTACTCATATTTATTTGTTGTTCTGATGGAATTTTTCGACTAGGCCACATTATATTTGGTCCAGATATTGTATCATCTCTATTCAAAATTTGTGATCCTTGTATAATTTGCTGTTGTTGCGATTGTCTTTGTTGTTGATAACTTTCTGATGGTAATTGTTGAATTCCATTTGATTGGGTAGGTGATTTATTTAGAGTAGGATCATTTATATCAATTGGATTGTTTGATAACATTCTAATATATGAATTCGGTTTTATATTATTGTTCATGTTGTTATTTGCTGGGTCAGAACACTAAAAATATATATAAGTAAAATTTAAAAACAAAATTCTGTCAACTTTTGTTTTTTTTTTTTTTTAAATTAAATACTTCAGGTCCTTCATCACTACCATCTTGACATTGTGGTATACCATTGCATGCATTATAAATTCCTATACATTCACCAGAATGACATTGAAATTGGAAACGTCCACATGTTGTTTGAGTTGGAATTGTTGATGCTAATTAAAAGAAGTATGTATTTAATATTGACTTTATGTATAAAAAAAACAAAAAAAAATTATGTAATAAAAATTATTTTTTACTTTTAACTGTTGTAGAAAGAGTTACAGTTGATGGCACTGGTGCTAGTCTATCAGCATTTTTTTTCGTTTGTATATCTAATTTTTGTTTAAGATTTTTTAATTCCATTTCTTGTTTTGATGGTGGCATCGATATATTCAATTTTGAAACAATAATTTGTGGCGGTGGTGGTGGTGGTGGAAGAGGTGGTGATTGTGTTGTTGTTGTTGTTGTCGTTGTTGTAGGAGGTGTCATATATGTAATAGGTGTTAGAACAGCACTAGTGAAATTACCATGTTTTGTAAACTAATCATATTTTATTAAAATTAAAACGAAAACAAAAAATTATATTTTATTTTATATGCATGTTAATATGGAAAATAAATTTATTTGTTTGAAATTATTAAATTTACCTTGCAGCGAAAATTTTCTGGACGACCACATTCAAATAAATAACAGTATTCTTCAGCCTATGAAAAAACATGCAAAACACAAAATTATTATATAGAATTTTTGTCTATATACGTACATATTAATTGTATTTAATTTATTTTATTTTATTTTATAAAAAATTCTAATTTAAGTACTCAAGAAACTTCATCAACCACCTGTATGAAATATGTACATATGTATAAGTAATTTTCAATATACACTTTTCTGGAAAATCTAATTTTCAATGTTATACAGACCCAAATCTATATACATTCATGCATACTTTTCACATTTATGATAAGCATTTTGTATTTGAAAAACTAGAACATTTAAAAGATTTAAATTCAAAAATAAATGATTTTTACTTTCTCTTCGAAAACGAAAACATCACAAAATTCTGTTTCACAACATAATCGGCGACATTCTTCAACAGTTTCAAGTGGCATTCCTTGTAAATATTTTCCACCAATTGCTAATGATTCTTCAGTTCTAATAATCATATTTCCATGAATATCAAATTGTGCTATAAAAAAATATTTTTTAATAATCACAAAAAATTTCGTTCATATTTTGATTAAGAGAAGTCAAAAAAGAGAAAAATCAATAAAATATTTTCCTTTTCTTCTTTTTTGGGTTCCTTTTTCCTTATTTTATCATATTTTAATATTATTTTAAGTTATATAATTAAATATATATTAAAAAATTTACCTAAACATGATTCTAAATCCATTCTTTTATAAACACTATGTGACTCATCATTTTGTTGGCCATTTATAAAATTACGATTTAATAAATACAATATTGTAATAATGTAATTTTTGAATAACATTTCGAATATTTTACTACGACTACTAGATTTTTAATTTTTATATAAAATTTTTATATTAACGCCTAAATATATGTAATTTTTGTCAATTCAATATTATATATTTTTCCAAAGAAAAAACAAAAAGGACAAACAACCAAATTCATTTAAATTTCAATATTATGAAAAAACAAAAATTTTTTATTACTTTTGTTTTCGATAACTTTTCGATATAAAATGGTTACGTTTACAAAGAAAAAAAAAAGTATAAGAAGAAAAAATATTGATAAAATTGATTTGAAAATTAATTTTTTTTCCAATCTTGTACAATTCTGTCAGAAAACTTCTGTCACAATATTATTGAAAGAGAAAGAAAAACAAATGTTATTCGAACATACTAACAACAAGATTTTCGTATATGTTTGTTTTTATTGTTGAAATGGAGAGCGTATATTTTATTACAGAATTTTTACAGAAACTATTATTTTCTCCCTAAATCTCTAACATAACGGCCTGTTTTTGACAGTTGAGATTTGGAAGAAGAGAAAAAAAAGAGAATTATTTTGAATGCGCTGCTGCAAAAAATTTTTTTCTAATTTTCCCATTGTACATACACATGCTCGTATTTACATAATTATAATAATTTTAATGCTATATATATATATGTATATGTTATATGTTATTTGTTTTAAACATGATTTTACACATGGTTTATTTGTTTTAACCATTGATTTTACACATACACATAAGTGTATGTATGTATAAAATGCAAATTATAAACAAAGGGATGCGTTTTTAAAGCTATACATATAAACAACTTTTACGTTTTTAACAGAAGAACAAGTTCATTATTGGGAAAATTTAAGATTAATATAGAATTGGCGGTACTTTGTAATATAGACAAAAACAGCCCTTCTACCACCATATCACAGAAGCAAAAAAGTTAAAGAGAATAATTTTCTTTAATTTCAAAAATGAAATCAAAGAGAAAAAATATGTGTATAAAATAAAATTGAATTATTTTTGAATATTGCAATTTAAAATATAATTTATAAAAAAAATTTTTTATTCTCTTTTAAGATTTAAAGCTGTATTTATTTAAGTATAAAAGCCTCCCCAAGTATGGTAATAAAATGCCTCTATTAGAATATAAATAAACAATTCTCACGTTACAAACAGTTTTACGTCATTCTTATATTTTCATTGAAAATTCGAGAAATATGACAGACAAAGCCAACTTTGTACACTCATTTCGAAGTTCATGAAATTTTCCTTCTAACGGTGTACAAACATTCGCTGGAGTGAATTTCAAAATTTTAAAATTTAAAATTTAGTTTTTCATATAGTTCTTCTTTGTACCATTCTAACATTGGATAAATTTATATCCTATACTCGAAACATGTTTTTTAAACTTAAGCGGTTTTTCTTTAAAACTATAAGTAGAATTTGTTAATGAAAATTTTAGATATTTTTTTGAGTGTTTACTTTAATAGAAAATATAATGAAAATATTCTAAAACTTTAATATTTTTTTAAAAGTGTATATAAATGTATATGCATGTTCATATATGCAGCCATACATACTTTATATTTATGTATATAAAATCAAAATTTTTTAAAATATTTGTGTGTTTATCTTAAACATGTACAAAAGAAATTTTGTATATATTTAGTAATATATATACATAAAAGAAAATTATAATTAGAAAATTTCCACTATTTTCGCAAACAACATTCTCCTCATAATTTTTCATTTTTAAATTTTTTCCAATTTTATTCAAATTTCATATTCTATTCTGATCATGCGTCAAAAATTCTGTATGGTACAAAAAAAAGACAAAAAGACTACATTAGAAAAAAAGAATAATTTGCACGTTTTATTTCAATTATCATATGTTAGTAAAAAAAAAAAAAGGATAACGAGATAGCATCATTATGCCCATGTGGAAACACTCTCGGCTTATATGTGTGTGAGATTATTATGTATTACATAAAATACATCCAATTCAATTTTTACACTGCTCTACATGCTAAAAATTTTACACTTCATTTCATATAATCTTTCTCGTATAAACTCAAATAGAGAAAAAAAAAATATTTCATAGAGCAAAGGGAAGGAGAAATGAAATATAAATATGTATATATATACAAAGCTTTCAACATGTTGAACAGTTTCGAACACCCAAATATTTAAATACATATTTTAAACGGTATATACTGTAATATCTCGCTTATAAGATGATATTAAACCAAAAAAATTAATATAATGAAATCTTTGCAAAAAAAATAAATTTTTTATTATAGGAGAAAGGGGGAGACATAAAAAATTAAAAAAAAAATTTCAATGTATATGGTCTCCCACGAGAAAATTGAGGCCTATTCAAAAACAAAAAGAAAAAAAAAATACAAATTAAACAAAAGATTGAAGATAATAAAAAAAAACAAAAAGAAAATTTAGAAAGAAACAAAACAGAAAAATAGAAAAAAAAATTATACAAAATTTTTATTATTTTTTTTCTTCTCTTTTCTGAAGAGCATAATTTTTTCTCATTTTAAATGTACAACGAAATTTACAAAGTTTAAAAAAAAACTGAGACTTGTTTTTATTTTATTTTTATTCAAATTATTTACAAAAGTAAAAAGAAAATTGTAGAAATCTTAATATAAGCGGGAGGGGGTAGTTTTCCAGTGTTTTTGTTAGGAAAATAACCGTTCGCGGGAGCGTGGAGTGGGAAGAGGACTCAGACGTTTTCTGGTGAACGTTAAATTAAAAAAACTTGAAGCTAAAGCAATTTGTTATTCACAGCTTTCTTCAATTAATAGAAAGAAGGATAATGCAATATGATGATCAACTTCAGACTTATAATTTTCGAGTAATTTACATAAATACATCTCTATATATACAATGAATTCTTCCATAAAGTTAAAGAAGTTCCCCTTTCAACTCTCATTATGTGCTTGGCAGTAAAATATAGTTATTGTTTTTGTTTGTTTAGAGCAAAACTTATGCGAGAATTTTTTCGAATGGCATGATTGTTAAATAGAGATTCTACTGTACATTATTTTCTTATGTTATTATGCTTATTTTTATTTTTTTATTAGAAAAAATAAAAAATTTATTGCATCTCCAACAACACTAACATCACTAATACCACCACTACCAACACCATCGCTACCATTTCCACCACCATATCGAATTTAAACGAAATATCAAAAACCCAAATCAAAACTATACATTTTTTTTTTATTGTATTACCTACATATATATATATACATACATATATGTACATATATAATGTATGTAGGTGTGTTTATAAAAACATAAACAGTTTTTCCAATCTTTCTATATTAAAATGCTACAGAAATTTTATGCATAAATATGAGCAGAAATACGTAATATTATTGTACATATATACACACATTTATTTATATATATGCATATTTTGTATACCCTTGATATATAATATAATGTATATATAAATAAAATATTTATCTATTTTATTTTACCTTTATTTCCACAATAAATATACGCTACATAATATACTATAAATATATACGTGTGTATATAATTAAAGTGTATACCACTGTCACGTGCGGTTATCCTTTATATACACATTCCTATCAATAATACCTATATACAATACCTACCACACATACATGTATAATATATATATATATAATTTGTAAATAGATAAAAAAAAAACAAAAATAAAAAGAAATTTAAAAAAAAAAATTGAGGGAGCAAAAAAAAATTGCAAAAATAATAAAATAGGAAAAAAAAATAGAAAAAAAGGACAAATAAGATGAAAATATTACCATCATCCATGTTATAATCTCATATATTGTTTGTTAGTTCTGTCAGGATAACGAAGAAGCCGAGAGTTGAATTTTATAAGAGCGTCTGCATATATAGAAGCGCGGATAAATTTTCATTTTATTTTCTTAATTTTTTTGCGATAACAACCGAAATTTTTAATATAGAAACCAAATATAAAAGAATTGATTTTTAGAACAAAGAAAAAAATTTTGCATACATACATACATGCTTATAAATTACAGAATTCAATCAAGGGGTTTTAATTAACAGTAGAACTAATTAAAATAAATAAATAATTTAATTTATTTAAAAAAATATTTAAATTTTAATTAAACTATCATAATAATTAATTTAAATTCAATTGAAACTCAATAATAATTACAATTTTTCATTTGAACAATTTCGTTACTCGATATTCTTAAAACGGTATATTCTAGTATATTATATAAATACACACACATTATACAAAATATAGTGCATATATATAATACATTGTGATAATTTTATAAAGGAATTTATAAAACAAAAGAAAAATAAATTTATTAAAAAGGAAGGAAATATCATTATAAATTTAAAGAAATAGAAAAAGGGATTGCATACATATGGCTACATATACATATGTTTGTGAATAATAATAATAATTTTATCATATTGCATACACATATACAGTAACGATATATGAGCCCTATATTAAATTGAAACAAAAAAGAAAATTTAAACATTTTCTATTTGAATACATTTTAAAATTATTTGGTAAGTTGAACCCTATTTATTTTTTGTGCCTAAATATTATAATACATTATATATAGAATATAGGTATTTCATAAGTGTTGAAAGCTTTATACATTTACTTTTTCTTCTAGACCTTCTTTTCTGAATATAAACTCTTTCTCTATGATTATATCTCGTCTTGAGTTTATTATAGGAATGAATTTGAGAAATAAAGTGGTATTATAAACGTTTAATGATCTAAAGTTAAGTACAAGTTAACAAGTAAGACAAGTATGGGAACTCCGATGTTTAAAAGATATTCATCGATTTTTCTTTTAACCACATCATAATATACTCGACATAAGTCTTACTGGACAATTTAAATATTTGCTCGTACTGTATATACATTTTTAATTCATCTTGATATTTTGTCCACTATAAACACTATAAACATTCATTTAAACCAGTTAACATTGTAATCGACTGTAATATTTTGCTTTGCAATTTAAATTTTGCATTGCATTAATGTAAATGAGCATTATTTATGATTTAATTTTACACTGCTGTACAGTTACGTAAAGACTCTTGAAAATATTTGAATTTACGAAAATTTTGTTTTTAAATTTGAATTTGTTGTCGTTCGATTATTTGAAACAAATTGAAAAAATGAAAATATTGTTAGAATTTTAAAAGTTTCTATGTATATTTTTTAATCAACGAGATCTAATAAGAAGAAGGCCTTAAAATCATCTATTTGTAAAGTAGTTTTTAGGGCTAGATTTTTTGGAGATCTAAATATTTCTTGAATATTTTCGGTATCAGTTTTTCATTAGTTTCTCTGTCTTTTACTTATCTTTAATGTTTTAGAAAAAACAGTCGGATGCTAGTCATTATATTTCTCTCGATCTAGAACATTTAAAGTGTTGTTGAATATATACTATTATTATGATTTATTCCAACCCTCTATATTTCGGAAGTAAACGATTATAAAATATAATTTTTTCATTTAATATTTTTCATGTAATTTATCAATTTAATAATCTTGTCATTATGTAAATACAACTAAAAATATAATATTAATATGTAAGATTAATTTAAAATAAAATTTTTTAAAGAATTTCAATAATTCCCAAAAAAATCACTATTTTAACTTATTCAGTTTTGATTCTCCACTTATAATATTTTTAATATTGAAAATGTGAATTTTTATTTTTATTTTTAGAAAATATTAATCCCGTTATGAGTGTTTTTTTTTTATTTCAAATCCTTCCTCTCCCTTTCATTCCCTTCTAAGTCCATAATTTGTTGTAAATTTTATAAATTTCTGCATATTCTTACGTTTATATTTTATAAACTAATATTTATATTATATGTTTACGTATGTGTGTGCATATATATACTACATATATATAATTTTTATAATATATTTTTTATTATTTGTATTTTTTATACTACATTTTTTTTTATAATTTTCTTTAAAGTTTGTTTTTCTGCTTGTTTTTTGCAAATTCAATGTCTGGAGCGTGATATTTCTTTGTATTAGAGCATATAACATTCAGGAATATGCATATATTTACATACATACATGCATGTATATCACATATATTTATTTCTCTATACGTACAAACAGTTACTTTAACATATCTATGCATATATATCTATATTATGTGCAATATATATGGCATTATGCGAAAAAATGTTAAATAAAATTTTCTGTAAAATTTTTTTACCTTTTTTTAAATAATTCAAGATATATGTATGTGTGTAGGGGATCCAAATCAGTGTTGGGATAAGATATTTAATCAAGTAAATGATGCTAAACTACGCAAAATAAAATGCCATTTTATGCCAATGTTTTATGACAATTTTTATTTTATATAATACCTATGTACATATAAATAAATTAAACCAGTGTAAGACGCACATGGTTTTCTATTTTTTGAAGCTGTACAAAGTCAAAAATAAATTGACAACTTATAAGAGTGCAGTGAATCAAACCCCATAATTATTAAAATATAGCTTTGTTTTTTTGCTGACAATGGTAGACCAAGTCTCGGAACAATTGTAAATAGTTCGTTTATAAATGTGACGCTTTCGAATGAAAATTTTATTATATTCGGAAGTGTTATGATGCCAAAAATGTAATTGACAAAATTTTTGAAATTAAGACTATTTACGTCAAATTTCTAGCATAAGTATGCTAATATCCCAACACTACACCTTATATAATATACATATACAAATTCAATATATTTATTTACGTGTAATATAAATATATTTATGTGTGTAAGCGTAAAAGAAAATAAAATGTAAATAATTTTTAGTAATGTTTACATACTCGTAATATGTGTATGTGTTTCAATGTATATATATATACGAATGTAAATAATATTATGTAAATTATATGGTTATAATATGGTGAATGAGGGAATTTTATACACCCTCATTATTGTGTACATTTATACGTGATATGATAATTTTCTTTGGTTTGCATACAGTATAAAAAAATACTATAAAAAAAATGTTGGTTATAAGTTGAATAATTTGTGTACATGATATCAAAAATCAAAGGTGCTATTTGTGTTGGGTTTTTTCTTTTTTGAAAATAAAAGAAAATATTTTTTTTTTTGTTTTTAAAAAAAAAAATTAACAAGGGCCAAGTTCAAATGTGTGGTAGAAAATTTTAAAAAAAATGAGAAAAGGATTGTGAATTCTCTATACATACATTATATTGTATGTACGCATACATATAAATACATTTGTTGTGTTGTGTATTTTTCTTTTATTTATTTTAAAATTTATGAATATGTCTGTGCATGTATATGCATTTAATAACTTACTCTTATTCTTCACATTTTGTATTACATGTGTGATTGTCATAAATTTCCAAAAAATAAAAATTATAACATAAATGGTAAATGAATTCGGTGTTATACTTATAAATAGTATTTCAAAATTTATATTGAAATTAAAATATAGAAAATGTTGCCCAAAAATATGCACTAAATATTTTACAGCAGTTTATATTGCAATACATAAAAATTTAACAGCTAGCGTAATTATTGACTCATTTTCTCATAAAATAAAGTCAATACTTGTACATCAATACCATCTCAATACCTTCTTCATCTCAATATTAGGATGTCAATAATTGTACCATTAAGCCATGTCAATAGTTGTACCAGTTTGTCAATAATATTGTACTTTTTCGTATTCATGCAAATACAAATTTAATTTTTAATATTTTTATTTTACATTTGATAAATATTGGTATATGATTATGAAAGAGAAATATTCAATTTATACTCGTATTTTACCGATGCTCAAATTTTTATAATTCTGCATGTAGAATTTTTATGAGAAATACTGCTTAAGAGTGTCAATAATTGTACCCAGCTTATAATTGAGCTGTCTTAATAACGAAACTATATATCCGTTGTAAACACTGCGTTCCTTCTAAGATATATAAAAATATTTCTATAAAGTACACCAATCATATAATGCTCAGAACGTACACCACTCCCATATACATATTATACATCTGTTATATGTCTTTACCCGTTTAACGTCCTTATATGAGAAAGTACTTGAAAAAATCAATTACCTACATTTAGTCAAATAGATGGCATCATATTATATTTACGTAATATATATAAATACGAAATTAATATGTTTCACAAAAATTCAACAATATTTCTGGTTAAAATTATGTTCTATTTAAAAAATACTCCCAATTATTCTTGGAGTACATAGTTTGAAGTGCCAATAATGTACCTTGAAAGAAGTGTGAACATTTTTTTTTTGTTTCGTATTCAGACATGGTTTACACCGTAAAAAATTGTAGAGATTAAGGGGAATGAGACGTCATTAAAGAAAACTTATTGTAAAATATCTAATTGTCATATTCTCACTGATTTTAGGTTTCCATTCAAAATTTAAGTGATTTCAAATTTATTTTAGGATATATGAAGCATCCTGAAATAAAAGTGATTTGTAAATTCATTGCTTTATTAAAGTAAATAAGCATAAAATCTTAATTTCACTTTCAAGTTCTACAAAAATTGAAATAACTATCTAGCTGGTTATCGATTTTTAATAATTTAGTTTTTAAATATATATTGCATATTTTTAGGGGAAATATATTTTTTCTATCTTGTAAGACATTTTTTATTTTCCAAAATCATTTCTTTTTCATTAATTTCTAATTCATTTATAATTTTTCTTCTATTTATTACATTATAATATATGAGTTTGTTTAGTTATACAATCAAAATTCTTTTACATACAATTTTAAAATTTTATTAAATTTTATTTTTGACAATTGAATGAGAAATTTTTCTTAAATTTTCCTAACCTTCGTTTCAGGATAAGTATTAAGAAGTTTACACAATAAATTAAAATATAATTTTTTTTTTGAACAGGACGAACTATATTATTCTTTAGTAATACTCGTAATTACATTTACATAAATAATTTAAATAGCTAGGTTGTTTAAATTTAGCAGTTTTTAATTGAAAAAAAATATAATTAATTAAAATTAAATATTTTAGTATAGACTAATGCTATAAATAAAAAAAATCTAAGATTGAACTTAAATTTAAGTAGTTTGGTTTTATCACCCAACTTCAATTTTGTGGGGAGCTCATAAAATTCGAAATTTAACATTAATATAAACATTTTTAATAGTATAACAGTTTTCAACTTTATGTAGTGAATATAAAACAACTTGTACGAGTAATGCCTGATGTAATTTACTCATTGCATATAATTATCTTGATTAATTAATATGTGGGAAAAAGTAAAATTTTCTTTTATCTAATCTTTATTATGTTAGCCACAATTTTTGTTTTTGTTATAAAACCTCTTTGTAGTATGCCATTACCTTATAATTTATGCTAATTTTTACTGATAATCTTTATTTTCCCTTTTAGGTTTTCTTATCTTTGCGAAACATTACGAATAAATCACTAATAGGATGGTTTCAATTATCAATAAAAGTTTTTCGACAATCTTCTACCCCGAACATATTGTTTAACAATTCC